GTCCTTCCAGTAAAAAAAGTAGGCACCTATGAACTCTGGGATTCTAGACCATTTACTTCTGCACCACTGGCAACATATTGGATCGTATAGAATAAAATCCTATTTTGTTATTATTCTTTTTTTCTTTATTTCGGAATCGCACTGCAGCTCTACCAAACTGACACATTTCACCTCCCCCCCTCCTGCTGAGTTGCTTTCAGGCTGCAGAGTACTTGCTCCACCAAGTGGACAGTTGGATTACTACACCCTTTAAAGTGTCAAGTGTGTTCTATCAAATACATAAACAGCCTTCAGCTGAAACTTTAGGTGATAAAATCCCAGTTAATTTATTACATTGTGTTTAAATAATAGAGCCACAGGGGAACATACATTGATTGATTGATTGATTGATTGATTGATTGATTGATTGATTGATTGATTGATTGATTGATTGATTGAAGGCTAGCTAACTGTAGTAAAAGTAAATGGTGGCACAGAGCAGATGTTTCATTATTCTGCATGTTTTTAATCATGTGTACATCTAGTGAATCCAGATGGGACAAAAAGGCCCTCTCCACTGTAAATGAGGGTTAAGATGTGAGATTACCAACAGAGATCATGTGTTCTCAAAGGTTATTTCATCCTTTGGGAAAAAACAAGATCAAAGACTTTCTGGTGATGTCATCCAGTTTGCAGGAGTCCTTCCTCTGCGTCTCATGTATCACCACTTTAAGTCACGGTGCCAGACTGAACACAATCACATAGTCTCACAAAGTTTTAGCATTTTCCTCTGACATCATCCTCTGAACTCAACACCTCTCAAGCTAATCCACCCCTTCCTCCATCCACCTAGCTGTTCAGACTTTCACACCTCATAAAGAGGGCAGACACAGTCCAGAATGAAGAAGTGTTTGGATCAATAATACTGAAACAGCTGCTCTGTGGAGAATAAGTCTCGTATTAAACATGAAACTCAAAAAGCCACTGCTGAGTAAGGATTAAAACTATAAAGAGTTTCTTTCAAAGGGGAAACACTTACAGTTTTACCTACAACCACACCACTCTCTGTTCTTTAGTTTTTTATTATTTAACAGACTACCTGCTCCAAACTCTTTGTGGATATTTTCTCAGTTTGCTACCACTGTCTTTGTTCTAAATCCATGGTTCAATATGACTCTACGTGGCTCCATAGATACTCAAACACAATAACGAGGCTTTGTCAGCACTCAGCATTCCCACCGAGATTCTCTATAAATATTCTATTCTGGCCTTGCAAACACTATAAACCAATCTATGTGGAGACATAACAATGGGCTACGATCAGAAGTCAGAAATGTACACTTGTGTCATTGTCACGTGCATTTTGTGGGCTTTTGATGTATCTCTAATGTGGTGTTTGAAAGCAAGAACTACATGCACAAGTTTAAATTTACTGTGGAGTTTCTCTATTTCATGCTGGGTCGAAATCATACATATATCTCTATTTCATGCTGGGTCGAAATCATACATATACATGGACTACCACTAATATTTATTTAGGTGTCCCTTACCAAGTTGACTAAACATTTTTGTTGCTACCAGCAAGCTGCTAGTAAATGTGATCACTATTTTTGGCAGACATGGAATAATTTATTAAATTGGTTGTTGGCTAGTTGGTTGGTTGGTTGGGTTGGCTGGCTGGTCAGTCGGTCGGTGGTTTGGTATAATGTTGGCTTTTAAACACAGTCCACAATGTTTTTGACAGAATTGACAAAGGTCACCCCAGAAGTGTAATGTTAGGCTACTTTATCCAGTCAGAAACCTGTTATGGTGTGTTTTTCAAGTCCTGTTGCTACGCCCAGCTGTCCAAGTTTTGACCGCCTAGCTGACGATTTCACATAAAGAATTGATGTCAATCCCCCATCTTTGTTATTCAGTGCAATTAGTGCAATGCACCATTGCCACAGCATGATGCTACTGCCACCACACTAAACTTGCTGCTGTGTTTTTATGCTGAATGCCTCACTTTGATTCCTCCAGACTTTCCTTGTTATGTAAGACCATCTTGTCCATGTGGTCAGTCAAGCTTGAATGTGTCTCTTTTGGAACAAGAACATATTTGTTGAGAAAACTCACCTTATGGCCGAAAATGGCACTGGTGTCCGAGTAGATTTCAGTTTACAGTAGACTTGGTGGTTCTTGGGTTGCTCCTGAACTTCCTAAGCAATTTTCTTTGATCTGAAGGTGACAGACAAGTATTGGTCAGTCAGTTCAGTATTGTCAAACATTCCATTTCATGCTGTTCTTTGAAGTTCAGAAACTTCAACGCCACTTATTGAAATATTTAGTTGAATGTGTTTATATATTCGACCATGTATGAAAGAGAAAAACTTCATATAAATTCAACCTTATGCACCGGTGATTTTTAAAGTTATTTGCAAGGTTTGTGGTACTAAATCAATCAGTCTAAGACCAAACCTACTATGACATTCATGCCCATGATGAATAGCCTGTAAACTCCTATGTAAACTGTATATGTAGCACAATCTATACGCTTATTTGTGTGTGGGGTACTGTGTTTGTGTTCATGGAGCAGGGGGGTTGGAGTGTACCTCGGCAAAGCCAGCATCTGTGGACTAATCATTGAGTAATAAGCAAAATAAACCTTCCAAGGCTTGCACCATATTTCTGAAAAGACCCTGAGCTCATTGTGTTCTAACCAGCGGTGTATTACGGCTTAATGTACTGTGTTTGTGCACAGTTTGTACTTTTATAGAAATATTGGATTGCTATTAGAGCCGCTGCCTCCAGCTGGGCCTATTCAATCTATTGACCACTTGTAAACTGGACAATTCTATTTCTTTGCTTCTTCGCTCATATATACGCCATCATTTCTCATTTGACTAAGCGTTGCTGTGTATCTTCTGCCTCATCTGGTCTAAACAGGCCATCTGTCCTGCTTATTTATCCCTTCTATCCCCCATTTATTTTCCCCTCCACTCCTTGGCATGGCAGCCTGTCATTAATTCTGAGATCACAGACTCATGGCTCTTAGTGTTGGCCTGCCTGCCAGTTCCTTTCTGGTCATCTTGTTTCTGGTTTTAGCTCAAGACTTTGGGCTTCACTGTAGATTAACACTTTCTTGCATAAATCAGTGATTTTATTGGTCCAATGTTGTGGAACACAAGTCATGGGATTGGTTTAGCAAAATGTTTATGATCAGATAATTGCGTTTCTTCAATGTTTGATGGTGATTAAAATTTTACCGTGGGGGAAAAAATGACTTTAAGTGACTGCTTCTATAAAAGCAGTTTTCTTTCCTTTTTAGGTTTGTATAAACACAAGGTCCAAATGGAAAGACATCAAAGACATTCAAGAAGCCACTATTGCTGTTCATCTATTTTGGAAGGGTTAAAGGTCATTTTCAAATGATTTACAAACAGAAAGGTAATTCACAATTGGAAAACATTTACGACTGCTGCCATTCTTTCCAGGAATGGACGCCCCGACAAAATCACTCAAAAATTGTTTTTGCTTTTTAAAACAAACTTATTTTCATCCCTTGATTAAGAGGTCGAAGTTCAAGGCAACGATTTTTGAATAAAAAAGAGATCATTTCCCATAACGCAATACACTACCAATGTTAGGATAAAACATAGCTGTCAGCATGGTGGTGGAAGGATGATTATTTGGGCTCCTTGAGCCTATGGGGTTGGTTTACTTTGTCAAATCCAGCTTTTCCATTTTGCTTTTGTTTAGTAAATAATTATATGATTGAGCCTATGATGTTTTTAGAATTGAACATTTTATATGAAAACACCTAAATTGAAACAGGGCCGACTTTTTCCACAATTGAAATAAATGCACTTTTTCAGAATTATAAGTGAAATTGTTTAATTTATGCTTAATTTAATCTTGTTGTAATTTAAACATGTTGCTCATAAATATTCTCTAATTTCCCTCTGGGATTAATAAAGTATCTTTGAATTGAATTGAAATGAGAATTACAGTAAAAACACTAGGAGAGAATTTTCCTCATCTTTTGTGTTAATATAGGTTTAGCCCAGGCTAAAAAAAATTATCTGAATGAAAAGGAAACATTCTAAAAACATCTGGAGTCAGTACTGTGTGGGAGAAATCCCAAACTTTGCTGCAGGAAAGGAGTCTGGGCTGGTGAGAGAGAGGGAGAGAGGAACAAGTGAAGAAATTGAGGTCATGATGGAAAAAAAAATCTGTGAAATTCTTAAGAGGTTACTTTCAGACATAAGGGTTGCCTCCTCGCATGACAACCCAAACTTCCCCAGGCAGCATTTGTCTGTGTGGTCTCTGAGTTTGTAGAATATGGAGGTCGATAACATTGTCCACAATTCAAATTCAGTTCATTGCAGTTGTTAAAAAATCTAACGTAAGCTGACATTTTTAAATTATTTTGTTCTTTCTGTTGCTGTGGGAGGATAAAAGATAAGTGGATCAAAGAAATACAATCAATATTTTTATGAGTCCATGCAGCTTTAGCACTTCTGCCACTGGATGGCACTGGGTGGTTTGAGTTTAATTGAATGTTGCTCTTTAACGTTTGTTATTGTGCAACAGGTAATAGAAAAAAATACCTTGTCTTTATTCACAAAATTTTAAATTTAAGGAGCTATTGCCACTTGTGTTATTGGAAACAGGCAAATGGTCATCTAGAACGGCAGGGTTTGAGATTTTTTAAATATCTACACTACATTTCCCACAATGCATTGCATTCCGTTCGCCTGGTTTGTCCGCCTCCTGGTTTTTTTCTACATGTTGTCTTGAGATTTGTTACCCCGTTGGACAATGTTTCTGAACTCAAACAATGAAGCGCAACCTTATTCAGCAAATTTAACATGAATTTTAAAAGAAGTAAGAACATTTATTGAATATTTGCTACATGAAATAACGAGTTGTCATTTATTTAGGTTTTATTGATTATATGCGGCATCACATGTTCGGTTTTCGACGGGGCGACGCAGTTTGACTAAACACCGTGGCCGTGGTCTATGGTAACGTTACCCAGACGACTTGTTTCTATGGCAACACTTGCGCTGGGAATTAGAGAGAGGCACGACAGATATATCGAAAGGTTTTTTTTTAGTTTTCGTTGCGTAAAATTCGCTAACTCTTTGGAATTATTACGTCAACGTTCCTAACGTTCGTGAGAATTGTGGCTGAGAACTTTAAGGAAACTAGGAAAAGTTGGCAACCTGCTACACCGCACCGTGTGTTTTAAGCTAGTCAGAAATCCGCTAACACCACCGGTTAACCAGACTAAGCTCTAAAGTCAGTTAATGCCAACGTTTAAATGTGCTTTTTCTGGCCACAGTAGAATGTTTAAATAGCCCAACTGAAGAGGAGGGGCTGATTAAAATAAAATGGATGAAGACTATTTAAAGACCATTCGTCAGGTAAATTTTATGATTCAGTTTATAATTTTATTAGAAAAATGTTCTTGTTGTCTTCTAAATATATTTTCCAACTCCACTCAATGCTCGTGTCTCTCCACTTGTGGACAGTTACTTGTCCAGCGTGTGTATTTGTCTGGTGCACCTGAGGAGTCATGGACAGAGGACACTATGAAGCTGCTGGACCCTTTTATTTTAGACACCTCTGTCTCTGATGTGATGGTGTATTTGCACCCTTTGAGGGGCATTCAGGTGGTCTACCAAAGGCCTTCAGAGGTACAGCAACATTTTTTAGAGAATCAGGGTGTTTGTCTTCATAAATAAATGTAAATACATATTTTAAAGGTGGAGGAGCTGTTCCAGTTTACCCGTCTAAAGGGAGCCATAATCACCGAGGAAACCTTTGATGCAGTCATCAGTTTTCAGATAGTGAGAGGAAATTCCCTCCACAAGCTGCTCCAAGCAATGTCAGGCTTCCACATGCCCCTGTTTTCCCACAACTCCTACAAGGCTATGATCTGGAAGGACGAGTATATTGAGGATATCTACTACTTCATCACTTTCCTCACTGGTTGGTATTACACTGGTTTAATCACTGGTATGAATACAACACAAAGTCCTAATGAATCTCCTAATAATGGTCTGCATTTGCTCATTAATATGTATTGATCCAAAAAATATGCTAAACATTTGATTGATGTAACTTTACTTTTTTCCTGAGCAGAGGATGTGTACAAAGAAGAAGGCAGGATTATTCTACTCATCCCAGTTGAGGTGCTGCAGTGTTCTGTAGAGGAGGCCAGAAGAGACAAGAGCCTGATAAAGAGGATGGAGAGTGAGTTTTACAGGAAGGTTGTGGGTGGTTGCCCATCTCCATCGCTATAGTTTAAATCATCATGGCTAGAGCTCGGGGGTGGGGGCGGATGGGTAGGGGTGGGGGTAACTTCTGATTGATGTAACGATTAAATTTACATATTATTTAATGAACCATAAAATGTGAGATTCCATAGGAAATATGAAATCAATCTTATGGATCTGTGGATAACTTAAACCAGAAGATTGGAACTTTTTATTGCAGGGATTATGTAACAACTTTGTATTAACTCAGAGACAAAAGAAAGAGAGTCAAGTTTTAAAAGTTTAAAGATTTATTACTAAACTAATTAAAACTAGACTCACTTTAAACACTAAATGTATGGTGTAACTAAGGTTAAGTGAGACGGAAAATGGTGTAGTGTGGAATGTTGTTCAGAACCTGCAAATCCGGAGAAACGATTCGTTCTGTTGGGAGTAAAGATGATGTTTCGCGCTAAGCTTTTGATTTGGAGATTTATAACACACAATGAGACGCCAGTGAGACGCCATTCTGCCGGCGTATGTACCCTTTTGCAGAAGTCCCCGTTAGATCAGGAATGTCGAGGTTCAGCTTGACCCTCTCTGGAACCGAAGCCGGTAGGAAAAGCAGCGGTTGCTGACTCAAACCAGTCTTGAGATACTTCCGGGTCACGACAGTTTTGTTGGCATCTAACAAGACCCAAAACTGGGTCGTGATGGTTCAGCTTTTTTTCTGAAAGGAACCATTGCAGCAGGTGGAACAGCAACAGATTTTATCCAGCTTGTTGTTGGTTCTTTCGGCTGAAGAGGAAAGTTACGGATTGGCCACTCCGACAACTTCACTAGAAAGCTTTGAACTCCCTTTAAAGATGACGTGGGCATAGTTTTATACTTCAGATGTTTTGGTTTATGGTCTAATGAAAACATGACAGATTTACCAAGCACCACCAAAACCCCGCCTCCGTCAGATCTGGAAGATTCTGATTGGATCAGTAAAAGCAATGTGTCATGTGGCTTAATCTTACGTGTAATCAGTCTCTAGTGGAAACATTTAAAGTTATATTACGTATTATATTCTATGGGATTATAATATCAAGTAATTAATATTTTCATTTCACAAATTGGTTCACATTTTATTATTGACTAACACTTTGTTTGATTAACTTATTAAAAATAGAGTTCTTTGATTTATTAAAAAGAAAGAGTTCTTTGTCTTCATTCTTCTCTTGAGCTGGAAAATAAGAAACAGTTTAGAAGCAGATGCATGAGACCTTGAGCAATATCTCATGCAGATTAGTTCTTGCTGAGGAGAGGGGGGAAACGACTTTTAGGTGGAAAACAGTCATTTCATTCTGTTACATTGAGTTCACACATTTGCAAAACATTTGGAAGGTTTTAAAGGTGTGGAACTCTGAAAAAACTTTTTTACAATTTGATTCCTGATTATAATCGCTCACCTTTGAGTTTTTCATGCAGGCTGAACATGAAAAAGTCCTACACCTATCTACTGCATTAGCTTCTGGTAGAAAATAGATGGTGAAACTCTAGGATTTGGAAAGTCTGACAGATCTACATCACACTGTCGCTTAACAATCATGGACTCACCCATCTTGACTCTTGACAGCGAAGGCAGTTGTTGGTTTAACGTTGAGGAAACAGCAGAGAACCTCTCGACTAGTAGAAGCTAACCGTTAGCATTAGCAACTCCACACAGCAGAACTTCATCAAGCTTGTGTTATTTGTGGACATAAAACATCAGCTTTGCAAGTCAGCAGTAGAGCCATGTTGTTGTTATCCAATCAGGCGATACATTAAAATATCTGGAAATACTCCAAATCCTGTTGTCTGAAGTTCAGCTGTGATGTGGCCCACTTCTAGTTCCTGAAACTGTTGCATCGGTGTACATTTACCTGGAGTACGACTTACAGGGTATTCACTCCTACTAGAGACCACTGCACATGTATAGATTAAATGAATGTTTAAAGTAAAAAGCCTTTAAAGTAACACTAACAAGTTTTTAACACAGCTATTGCTGTCACACTGGTTTCAGTGGTTCTTGAGCCAGAATCAAGCAGCTTCACATGGAGCACCTGCAGCCCTCTGCTGACCAGAAATTGCACTAAAAAACTTTGGTGGTTCAGGAGGGCACTATTTGGAGGTCTGTACCTGCTTTATGGCAACTGCTGTCGTTAGCTAATGTAAAGAAGAAGAAGAAAATATCATTTCTATAGCGCCTCTCAAGGTAAAAATCACGAGGCGCTTCACAAAAACAAAAAAATATAAAAAAGCATTTAGAAAATGTTTAAAAATATATTTAAAATGAGCAAAAATAGGCAATTGGGATTTAAAAGAAAAAATGTTAAGAAAGAGAGAGAGTGAATAGGAAAGAGGGAAATCGGTGGATCCTGAGGAAGGTGGAATAGGTGGGGAGAGCAGAATAAAGAGAGGGGTTGAAGAAGGTCATACAAAAGCCAGCTTGAACAAGTGAGTCTTCAGCTGCTTTTTGAAGGAGACCACTGAGTCCACTGGTCTCAGGCTCAGGGGAGAGAGTTCCAGAGTCTGGGGGGCCACAGCAGCAGATGATCTGTCACCTTTGGTCTTTAGCCAGGTGCTGCACAACCAGTAGGCTTTGATCACTGGACCTCAGGGACCTGCTGGGGGTGTAGGGACTAAGAAGATCACCAATGTAAGATGGTGCTTGTCCATGTAAGGCCCTGTAGACCAGAACCAGGATCTTGAAATGAACCCTGAAGTTGACTGGCAGCCAGTGAAGCTGGAGGAGAAACGGGGTGATGTGGGTGTGTTTGGAGGACTTGGTCAGAAGCTGAGCACAGGCGTTCTGAACCACCTGTAGACGGTTCAGGGAGGTTCTGCTCAGACACGTGAAAAGAGAGTTACAGTAGTCTAAGCGTGAGGAGATGAAGGTGTGGAGAACAGTCTCAAGTTCAGAGCGGGACAGAATGGGACTCAGCTTAGCAATGTTCCTGAGATGGAAGAAGGAATAGCGAACAAGAGAACTTACATGAGAATCCAGGGTGAGAGCTGGGTCAAAGGTCACACCAAGATTCCTGACAGAAGGTTTGGTGTGGGAAGCAAGCTGACCAAGAGAGTCTCTGACTTTGGGAACCAGCTTGTCTGGGGCACAGATGAGGATCTCAGTCTTATCTTCATTCAGCTGAAGAAAGCTCCCAGCCATCCAGGTTTTGATAGAGTCTAAGCAGGTGTGTAACAGCTGCAGCTTAGACATCTCATGGGGCTTAAAGGAGATGTACAGTTGGATGCCATCTGCATAAAGATGGTAGGAGATTCCTTTGAAGGAGCTCAGGATGGGCTGAAGAGGAAGCAGATAGAGGAGGAAGAGCAGAGGCCCCAGCACAGAACCTTGTGGGACACCATGGGTAAGAGAGGTGGTGGAGGACCTAAACTTGGAGACGGCCACAGAAAAGGAGCGCTCAGAGAGATAAGATTACAGCGTTCTTAAAGTAAGCAGGGACCTGACCAGAGACCAGAGAAGCATTAATTGTAGAGAGCACGCTGGGACCGATGGACTGAAAAGCATGCTTTCGTTCTTTTTTAAACACAGAAACAGTTTTGTTTACCTGTTTGTAGCTACAGTTTCGCCGACGAAAGCATGGAATTAGAACGACACAGCAAGAACACACCTAAGATGGACTGAAAAGCACTTTTAAACAAAGATGAGGGTAAGATGTCGAGGGGGCATGCAGAGGTCTTCATAGAGTTAACTAGTTTGGTTAACTCAGGCAAAGAAACAGGAGCAAAGCTATCTAGGATGATTGGCCTGGTTGGAGACGGGAGAGGTAGCGATAAGGCTGAAGGAGAGATGCTAGATCTAACCTTGTTGACTTTGTCCACAAAGAAAGACAGAAAGTTCTCACAGTCTGCAACAGAGTGGATGGAGGCTTTAGGAGAGGCAGGAGAGACGATGCTGCTGATGGTGTTAAACAGCACCTTGGGGTTCCCTTTGCTCTGGGTCACCAGGTTGGAGAAATAGGAAACCCTAGCGTCTCTGACTGTAGAGTAAAAGGATGACTGAAGCTCCTTTAGGTGCAGCAGATGGACGTGGAGATGGGTTTTCTTCCACAAACGCTCAATTTTTCTGCATTGGCGCTTCAGGCTGCGAAGGCTGTCATTAAACCAGGGAGTAGGGTTCACTGCAGGAACTGATTTGGTTCTGACAGGACATATGTTGTCCAGAATGGAGAGGCAGTGCTCGTTAAATTGAGAAGTTAAGGAATCTGGGTCGTTATCAGAAGAACAGGCTAGCAGTTAGCGCTTTCAGTCCACCAACAGCCAATAAAAAGTACAAGAAGAAAGAAAAAGAGGTTTGCTTTTTGTTGTCATCTTGGTGGAACCTGGAAGTAAAATGAAGGGAGTAATGTCTTTGGAGGTGACGGAAGGAGCTAAAAGAGAGGGAGGCCTACACTCACTTGGGTCTGTGTGTACACAGATATCTAGAATAACAAAACAGATTCACACACATTTATAAATGACTAAAACACCAAAATAATTACTAATTCAAAAAGGTTTCTATGGCTACAAATTGTTAAACACTTCTGTATGAATCACCTGATACATTTACACACAGGTCAGTCCAAAAGTTAGCCAGGGGGTTTTGGCACTCATTTTATGCTTCTGGGAGCCTGACGGGTTCACATGGTGCGTTGAAGTGAAGCAAAGATGTTTTCTGTGGATAAGAGAACAGCTCAGCTCCCTTAGCTATCACTCAGCCCTACATCCACTTTGTAGCATTCCACTGTGGTTTAGACATAAATGCATCTATGAGCCTTAGGAATGTAACCCATCTCCCACTATAATCCATTTCTCTTCTTTTTTATGTCCCCCGTTCTCTGCTGCAGTTCTGATGATTCATTGGACGGATCAGATCAGGGATCTGCTGAATGAGGATGAAACAGACAGCTGTGGCCTGCTGCAACAGATCGAGTTCTGGGCGGTTCGCTCCACCAAGCTGTCTGAGATCCACCAGCAGCTGGAGAAGCCAGAAGTCAGACACATCCAGAACATTCTGCAGCAAACAAAGTCTTTGTATCTTGAGAACTTCATTCGACTTCAAGAGGAATTAAAGGTGAGTCCAGGCATTATCACATCAAATCAGTAGCCAGCTAAACATCAAAATGGCTGACCAATCTTAGACAGCATTAGCCAGAAATGGCAAGAGGTTTTTGACCAAAGAGGTGAGAAAAGCCCCGCCCCTTTGGAACTCACATTGGTCAGAAAGTTGGATTTTACACAACAGCTTTGGTCTTTTGATCTCTTTAATTTTCCAATTTTACACAATAAACAGTTTAACCCACTCAGGCTGAAAATAAGTTTAAATTAAGGGCAAACAGCTAAGTACTTCAGGGGTACTTCTGAGTTAAAAAATGCTCATGAAATACGTATGTGGGGTAACCAGGTAGGTTTTATCGTTGCAAATCTGCAACGCCTGCCTCCAGAGGGTTAATGGTTCTTGAAGAGAACTTAAAATGTGAAACTATTCATACTTCCATATCTTCATACATATAGTGGCTAGATATGATGACTATGACATGGCACTGTCCTAATCTGTGTGTGTGTGTGTGTGTGTGTGTGTGTGTGTGTGTGTGTGTGTGTGTGTGTGTGTGTGTGTTGTGTGTGTGTGTGTGTGTGTGTGTGTGTGTGTGTGTGTGTGTGTGTGTGTGTGTGTGTGTGTGCGTGCGTGCATGTGTGTGTGTGTGTGTGTGTGTGTGTGTGCCTCCTAGGCTTATAGACAGCAGGCCGAGTCCAACAGGAAGTTCCTGTCCATCCTGAAGGTGCCCTGTGAGGGGCTCTCCAAGCTCAGTCCCAGAGAAATGGCTTCAAAGCTGGAACACATTATTTCACTCATTCATATCATCTGGGCCAACTCCCCCTACTATAAAGACAAAGACAGGATCACTAGACTCTTCTGCCAGGTACCAGGATGTGGAATTCCGAGTCGCTTTAGTTCAAATTGATCCTATTTCCTCCTTACATCTTTACATTTACCTGTCACGTGGAGAGAAGGCTCTCAGTTAGCACAACACATTTTAGCTCGTTAGCTTAACTATAGGCAGACTTATGTTTATGTTTATTTATTTGGCAGACGCTTTTATCCAAAGCGACATACAATTGTTAACCCTTAGGGCATGTTGTGATCTTTGGGGGAAACCGTATACCCGGAGGAATTCCACGCATGCATGGGGAGAACATACAGCTCCACTCAGAAAGGCTGCAGCCGGTTTTCGAACCTGCAACTTTCTTGCTGCGAAGCAACAGTGCTAACAACTGCGCCACCATGCAGCACGTGACTTATAGTCATATATGTGTTTGCTAATGTTGGTTAGCTCCGGCAGCCATCTTTAAACAGGTTCGCTGCAGAAGTATGTTCAGCGATGAGTTCCTGAAAGTCTCACTAACATCTACCCGGTGGTTCATTAGAGAATAAACAGGCAGAAATATGACCACCCATTTTCCAGCGTCAGGCAGTAACAAAGGTTCTGTTGGACATTTCATTTTTCATTTTCTGCCGTAGTAATCAGTCTAGGTCATTATTCTTCAGGATTTTAGAATGATGTGATTCAGCAAAGACAAAAAGGCCGACAGAGAAAATAAGAATGCTGCCTCAGACAGCTGCTGACGGATGGCGGCTGATGTTTTCTCTTATTTGTTTCATTCATATCTGCCAAAATTGATTTATTGATGATTTACCTATACTTGATTTGTTTTATTTTCCTTACTAAGATAGAAACAGCAAACTAAAACAGGTTATAGGTTTTCTACCAAGCTCTTAAAGTGACAAATATTTTTGTGCTGCTGCATTTCAGATGAATTATGAGCTGATTCATCTGTGCACCCAGAACATCTCTCTGGACAAGATCTTTGGATCTTCTTTGTTATCCAGCAAGCAGGTCCTGAACGACTGTGTCTACTGCTGCCTGTCCTGGAAGGACACCTATCAGCATGTCTCAGAGCGTCTCCAAAAGTAGGACTCATTTGGGTTTGTCTGTAAATCTCTTATCCTGTTATGATGTTCAGCAATAAACAGCTCTGATTTACTTCAGTTCAAATACAAACAAACCCTTATTTATCAGGGTTACGGTGAGATTACATCGTTTAAGAGTGTGTTTCTGTGCAAAAGTCAAGATCTCACTTTTCTTATAGCTTCCTGAGTGGCCTCTGTGTGGAGAAATGGCTTTTGCTTCCTACAGCACCAATCAGCTCAGGACTAAAACTAGAGAGTGCTGCCGCTGTCTTAAATTGACTTCAATGTGTGACATTACTTAATGAAAACATCTCTTCACATCAGAGTGGTTTCCATGTAAATCTTTGGTTATTTACTAGTAAAAAAAAATCATGTGTTCTGTACATCCAGGGGTAATGCTTCTGCCAAAATAACCATGTTTTGACATATTACAGACAATAAATTCAATTAAATTCTAATTTATTCATAAAGCGCCAAATCACGACAAGAGTCGTCTCAAGGCACTTCACACAATAAACATTCCAGTACAGGTCAGTTCATTAAGCCAATCAGTAAAAAGTTTCCTATATAAGGAACCCAGCAGATTACATCAAGTCTTTACAGCAATCCTCATACTAAGCAAGCATGCAGCGACAGTGGAGAGGAAAACTTCCTTTTAACAGAAAGAAACCTCCAGAGGATCCTGGCTCAGTATAAGCAGCGACTCACTGGGGATCGAGAAGACAGAGCAGACACACACACACACACCAACACCCACCCACACACAACATACTGTATATACCAAGTAGTGTTTCTATGGTTACATTGTGATTTCTTAGTAATTATTCTATTTGATGAGAGGTAAACTTTACAGTATTTATCCTAGTGAATTTATAATTAATTCAACTGGTAAACTAGTAGTAGCACATTCAATGTCAAAGGAAGTTAATGTTATTATCAGGAGAGGGAGAATGTTTTAGTGGTTAGCAGCAGTGTGATAGACGATGGCCCCCACCATGAAGCCACCACAGCTCAGCAGAACATCATTGTAGCTTCTTCTGGGGAGAAAAACACTTAGAGAAAAAAATAAAGTTAACAGCTGAAATAGCAGGAAATAATACAGTTAAAGAGCAGACTGTAGAAGAAAGCATTAGAGTGTGGAAAGTGGTCAATGTATCCTCCAGCAGTCTAAGCCTATAGCAGCATAACTACAGAGATAACTCTGGATAACCTAGCCTTTTAGAAGGAGGCATGTTGGAGGCAGGGCAAGGAAGAGCCGTCTTTACCGACTGTACACTCCACCTCCCTCTACTCCCCCACTTGTCTAGATTTAGGCTAACATCAGATTTTAACCATAGGCCCTATCAAATAAAAATGTTTTAAGCCTAGTCTTAAAAGTAGACAAAGTGTCTGCCTCACAGACTAAAGCTGGGAGTTGGTTCCACAGGAGAGGAGCCTGATAACTAAAAGATCTGCCTCCCATCCTATTTTTAGATATTCTGGGAACCACCAGTAAACCTGCAGTCTGAGAGCGAAGTGTTTGGTTAGGAACATATGGAACAATCAGGTCACTGATGTATGATGGAGCTTGATTATTAAGAGCTTTATATGTGAGAAGAAGGATCTTAAAATCTATTCTGAATTTAACAGGTAGCCAATGTAGGGAAGCTAAGACAGGAGAGATATGATCTCTCTTTTTAATTCTCATCAGAACTCTAGCTGCAGCATTTTGGACAAGCTGAAGACTTTTAACTACATTCTGTGGACTTCCTGAGAGTAATGAATTACAGTAATCCAGTCTTGATGTAATAAATGCATGAACTAGTTTTTCAGCGTCACTCCTGGAAAGGATGCTTCTAATCTTAGCAATATTCTGAAGGTGGAAAAGGAAATCCTACAAACCTGTTTAACGTGGGATTTGAATGACAAGTCCTGGTCAAAGATACAATTAACGGACAGTTTGAATTTTATTTATTATTTATTTCATATTTTTTAATTATTTACTTGAGCCAGCATGTGCTAAAAAGGTCCTTTACAGGGTTACTGAAAGCCCAACCAGACAAAGAACAGAAGAGTCAATTATCATAACATAGACTGCGATGCGCATGCGTCAGGATTAAGGACGGGGAAAACGCCGAGCTCTGACATTGTGTTAAAATTGTGGTGTTTTATCTGGAAAAAGCGACTTTAAGGTTGGTGGATCTGAAAGATAAGACTGTTGGCAGTGTCATGCCCTCGAAAAAAGCGAAACTGCCGCGCCAACAAAAAGAAAATTACGAAGGTGGGACAACAGGTGGGACAAAGTGACATGGCAGGTGCGCAAGAAAGCAAGGAGCTGTCAGAACTGATACGATCGTTAATAAGGGAGGAGATGAGTGTGGTGGTTGAAAAACTTAATATCACAAATGATATTTCAACTTGTGTAAGAAGACTGGGCGAAGTAGATGGAACCTTGTCTGATATGGATACCCGCATAATAAAGTTGGATGCGGAGTGCGGAACACTGGAGAGGAAAAATGCAGAGCTGATGGGGAAAGTTGAGCGGCTTGAAATGGATAGCCGTAAAAACAATCTCCGTGTTTTTGGATTACCAGTTGAGGTGGAATAAGGCAAGCCAACAGCTTATATGAATGAACTATTTAAAGATTTATTTCAAGGAAAGCTGGCGTCTGAGCCTGAAGTGGAATGGGCGCACTGGATTGGACAAGAGAAGAAAGCGGGTGGAAGAGGGATGGTTGTGCACCTGCAAAAGTTGTCAATGAAGGAGAAGATTATAGAAGTGATGAAAAAGGAACGTGTCTTACAAGTACGAGGAATGAAGTTAAAGATTTTTCCGGATCTGACAAGGGAGATGGCAAAGAAATGGGCCGGTTTCTGGGAGATCAGAGCTAAACTGCAGAACGCAGGAGTGAGACACGATATGGTCGTTCCAGCTACGCTGATCCTAACTTTTAGAGGAGAGACAAAAAAATTCAGGAACGAAGTGAGCCTGAGATGTACTGTAAAACTGTGATTGAGCCTGAACTTAAGAAATAATGACAATTGATATCAATTAAATAAGAGCTAAAAGGCGTGAAGATGACATTTCAAGAATTGGACTGAGAGCACTATTGTAGATCTCGCTATGGTTAACTATTGTTTGAACCCACATAATGATTTATTTTTGAAAGATTATGTCACGAGCTGGCAGAACGAAGCAGAAATGTATTTTCATTACAATGTTAAAGATTTTTGTGACTGTGTGTGTGTGTGTGTGGTTGGTGTTGGAATAAAGGCTATAATGGAAGCTCAGTGTGAAATCATAAATAGAAGAAATTCAAAACGAATCTTCAATGGCTGATAAAATGTTGTTGCAAAAAGGAGGGTTTAAATTAGCTCATTTGAATGTGTGTAGTTTAAGGAATAAAATAGATGATATTCAAGATATTGTAGAAAAGTATAATTTACAGGTAATGGCAATAACAGAAACACGTTTGGATTTGACAATAAATAGTTCTTTATTAGACATAAATGGGTACAGTCTTTTTAGATTGGATAGAACTTTACATGGAGGCGGTGTCGCTTGTTATTTTCAAAATCATATTCCTGTTAAGGTAAGAACAGAGTTCACAATTACAGGTGTGGAAGCACTCTGGTTACAGTTACAATTTCCTCATTTGAAATCTGTTTAAGTTGGATGTTGCTACAGACCGCCGGATGCTGCTATAATGTATCTCCATCAAATAGGTGAAATTTTGTGACACAGGAAATAAGATTTACCTATTAGGGGACTTAAACATAGATTGGAAATCAAGAAATTGCTCATTAAAGAGCAAATTAATCTCATTTGCTAAAACTTTTAATTTGTCACAAGTTGTAAAATATTTCACAAGATTGCAGGTTAAAAATAATGGTGTCTGCTCTAAAACGAGTATTGATTTAATTTTTACTAATATGGCTGAATTATGGTCTGAGGCAATTTCTGTTCCAGTTGGTTGCAGTGACCATAATTTGGTTGCTATTAAAAGAAAAGTTAAGGTGCCAAAAGGTCAACAATTTGTTTATAAAAGAATTTTTAAAATGAGTGATTTTGTAGAAGAAATAAGAAACATAGATTGGAAAGATGTAACAAAGGAGCAGGATCCAGGTAAAGCTGTAGAGATCTTTGACAATTTGTTAACAAAGGTGATAAATAAACATGCACCGATGAGGAAACAGGCAGTAAGAAATGTAGCTTCTCCATGGCTGGATAAAGAACTTAAGGAACGTATGAGGCAGAGGGACAAATTAAAATTAGAAGCAATAAAAACAAATCAATTGGAAACATGGTGTGAATATCGCAAAATAAGGAACATTGTAACCAAACTGAATAAAAACAAAAAACAATTAGATTATCATAGAAGAATCATAGACGCTAAATTAGATAATGCAAAGGTGTGGGGTACATTACATGAACTTATGGGGGTTAAAAAAAGGAAGGCACCTACTGTTCTAGAGGCAGATGGAGTTTTTTTAACCAAACCAAAAGAAATAGCTGATTATTTAAAACTGTTTTTATCAATAACATTAAAACATTGAATAATACCAGGGAAGAGAGAAAAGATGAATATGCATCTTATCAAAGAATTAAGGATGATATAATGCAAATGAAAGACTGTGAGTTTAAGTTTATGGAGGTATCAGAGGATTACATTAAAAAATTAATCTTAAATAGTAAAGATAAACCCCCTGGAATGGACAATATTGATATAAGATTGCTAAAATTGGTGGTAATTTTATTTTACTGCCAGTTTCACATATAATTAACGTAAGTTTTTTTTAAGAAAAGTATTTTTCCAGCCCAATGGAAAAAGGCAAAAGTAAGTCCATTAATCAAAAATAACCGAGAACCACTGTCTGGTAAAAATAGTTGGCCAATAAGTTTGCTACCAGCATAAAGCAAAATTTTGGAAAGAGTAGCATATGAACAAATACAAGAATATTTTATAACAAATAGATTAAACACAATTTATCAACATGCATATAAGGCAGGTCACTCCACTACTACTGCACTTGCTCAGATTACTGATCATTGGTTAAAAGAAATAGATGATAAAAAGGTTAGTTGGTACTATATTTTTAGATTTGAGTGCAGCTTTTGATGTGATTGATCATAAAATCTTATTAAAAAAATTAGAACGCTATTGATTTCAGTCATCCACCATTAAGTGGACGGAAAGTTATTTAACGAGTCGTAAATTCAACTTCTATTTTAATGGCAGTTATTCTGAAACAGGTCAGTTAGATTGTGGAGTGCCACAGGGCAGTTGTTTGGGCTCTCTTTTGTTTTCTATTTTTATTAATGACTTACCTTTGATTTTAAAACATGCAACCATGGCTATATATGCAGATGAACATTATTTGCATCAGAGAAAACAGAAGGCCAATTAAATGATATTTTGAAAAAGGAGTTGGATTTAGTTACACAATGGATTAGAATGAACAAACTAGAAATCAATGCAGAAAAAAGTAAATGCATGATAGTTGGAAATACATATACACTACAGATGACACCTAGACTGCATTTGAAGCTAGGTAATATAGAGATAGAGCAGGTAGAAGAAGCAAGATTGTTGGGGGTAATTGTGGATTCTAGATTGTCATGGACCAGTCACATAAATCATGTCCTGCTGAAACTTGGAAGAAGTATGGGCACAATCAAATATTGTAAATTTATTCCTCGTGTGCAGATAAAAACTTTAGTTCAAACATTAGTACTGTCTCATTTAGATTATGCATCAGTTATTTGGTCTAATACAAGTGAAATGAATTTAAATAAGTTACAAGTGGCACAAAATAAAGCTGCACGAATTGTTCTGGGTTGTAATTATAGAAAAAATGTAAGTATGATGCACGATAGGTTGGCCTGGTTAACAGTGAAATGTAGATTAAAGTATTCACTGATAACATTTATAAGAAAAATAATATCTACGAAAATACCTAAAATAATTTATGACAAGTTATCATTTTTTTCGGACAATCATGATTACATGACGAGACAGACAAGTGACATAAGGTGAGCACTACCGCGCTGCAGAACAAATCAAAGGCAAAGAGCGGTTTATTACAGAGCCATGGTTGCATGGAATGCAATACCTAGATTTTTGTTATTAGAGAACAACAGAAGATGTTTTCAAAAGAAATAGCTTTTTTTGTTTACACAACAGTAAATTTTGCACAGTGAATTGTAAATGTGACTGATATGACAGCTTCTATAATTTTTGTTTGTTATGGATGTGATGTGATATGATTTTTGATTCTTGGATATATTTATTTATTGCTCTGTGTAAACTCTCCGTATTCACTTATTTAGATTTTTCATGAAAGCTGAAGTGTGGTAAATTACTGGTATATCATTATTGCAATGGAGCTGGTATGATTATAATGAGCTCCTGGAGTTTGTTGTTGTTGGGTGTGTGTGTGGGGGGGTGGGGGGGGATGGGGATGGGGGTGTTTTGTAAAATATTTGTAATGAAATTGAAAGAGACCTCAGGAAGAATAGCTCCACACTATGGTGGGAGCTAATGAGGTTCTCAATAAATAAAATAAAAATAAATCCTATTCACATTTATTTTTATTAATCACTTCATATATATTCTTGTTATCTGTGCTCACCTGTCATGCTGTCCACCTTAATCAGAGAACAGAGTGATATAAATGTGTTCCTTATTCCCAGTGGATTGGCTTACCTCTGTTTTCTCCCACCAGGATTTCTGACTCCTTCTGTTCGCTGGACACCTCCAGGTTCTTTGTGGTGACTGACGCCTTCATTAAGAGGCTCACAGACCTGCTTGAGGTGACGCTCTGTTCTTTGTTCTTCTGCAGAGTCACAGATGCACATTACTTTGAACCGAGTCCAGTTCCTGCAGCTAATTAGGAATCTTTACTGTTCTGATTCAGATTATTTATATAAAACACGTTCACAGCAAATGTCATCTCAAAGTTCTACTCAAATTGCTTGTTCAACTCATACCAGGCCTAGATTGAATCAAAACCATAAACACCAGTAAGAAAAGCAGGAGAAAGCATCAGATCATCTGTTTAACACATTGGCGACAGTGGGAAGGAAAGCTCCTCTTTAACAGAGAGTAAAACCGCTAAACTAAAGGGATGAGTCACAATCAGGTCAATTTCTGTGTCTTTGTTTGTCCTGGTTGAATTGTTGCTGTTTGTTTCTAGTTATTTAGTTATTTGTTTCTTTTTCTGACAGGTTTGTCTCTGCCAGTACCAGTTTAGCCACGGGGAGGAACGTCAGCAGAGGGAGGTGCTGTACTTCAGAGGTACAAGGGGACCAGAACTGACCCGCCGGCTGCAGGACATAGAGGCCAAGTTTCACACTGCTCTGCAGACGCTGCGCACGTTTGACGAGAGCATCTTCGATGTCAGCGACTCAACGTGGAGCAATGAATTCAGCAGGTTGACATATTTGAATGTGTTTATATTTAAACCATGTTTTGTTGTTAGAAAACTGGACTGTATGTTACACATATGGACAGGATTAGCCAAAAGACCATGTTAGTGGGGTCACCGTGAACGATTATGGGGTTTTAGCTAAATAGGTGTAAAAACCCCGCCCCCTTTGAAACGTTAAAGCTCAGTTAGGCTCTAAACAGACTTAAGTGATATTTACTGCTTTAAGTTCTTCTGCTGTTATTTTGTTTTTGTGCCTCTGAGTGTTTGTGTCTGTTCTGCTGCTTTAGTGTGATTTTAATGTTTGTATTTACAGCTTTTCATCTTTTGTGAAAGAGCTGGAAATAATGGTGAAGGACCTGATCACCTCAGCATTTGGGTCCATAAACACGATTCAGGATGGGATCAGACTCATGGACATATTTCAGCATATGGCAACGCGTGAGGTGTGTCCTTCTCATCGATGATGTAACATGTTTCTTGCCTGACCCTAATGATTTGCTATTTTGTCTTTGTTGTATTTCTGGAGCTATAACCCTTTCTCCTCTCTCTCTCCTCGCTCACCTGGCTCTCTCATGCAATCTCCCAGACCATTAGGGTCTCTCTAGAAGAGGAAGCAGAGAAGGTTGTCAGCCTCTTTAATGATGAGCTCCAAAGCGTAAACAGAGCTATGAACCAGGAGGAGTGGCCTTTTCCTGACCACATACCTAAAATTGTGGGCCAGGCTCTGTGGGCAAAGGCCTGCAAACACAAGCTGACTGAGTCTATGGAGGTACATCTATCAGACCTTTGTTCGTTCATTCATATCAGTAAGCAGAATAAGGCTCTTCCTTTCTTCCTTTTTGGTTCCTTCTCTGTTCCAGGCCCTTCAGTCGTCCCACTACCTAGTGAACTCTCACAGCTATAACCAGGTGCTAGCCGCCCACAGCCGGTTGAACCATGAGTTGGAGGAGGTTGTGAAGGAGAAGTTCTTAGAGTGGGTCCAGGAGCTGGACGAGCGCTTCTTCAAGAAACTGGAGCAGCCACTCCTGTTGCGCCAAAAGAGCTCCCCATCCAAGCTGGACATAAACTTTGATTAGTAGGTCAACAACAATCGTTTAAAGACTAACAGACTTCTCAGATCCCAATTTCTCTTTTAGGGTCATTTGCCAGGTTTTCTGAATATTGTATTATATTAGTGAAAAGAATGGTTGGAGGTAAACCACAGAAGAAGAAATTGAGGAGGAAGGGGCCTGAGGTTAAAGACAATAAAATGGTTTTGAGAATCCTGTTATATAGAAATGTTAAGTAATTTATATACAGAGCTTATTTTATGTGGTTGGAACATTTCCTTAACTTTGTGTGAATTAAGATGCTAAATGTGTTCCTGCAGATGTTCTGTGGTTCTGCTGTTTTCAGCCAAGAAATCATAAATGATTAGCCTGGCAAGTGGTCTCATAAATGTATAGTCTGACCACAACCCACAGAGCAGTTTTGGTGTTTTGCCTCTTCTGTGATGACGTTTACTCGTAATCTTTGACAGTTTCCTGTCGTTGTAAGTCCTGTGACGGCTGTTAGATTAATTCTTTTTTTACTCCTCATTCATCTCCCAGAGGAGTCTAAATCATTCCTGTTAGCTGATCTGGGTACAACCGTGCGTGACACTGACTCGTGTTGTTTTGTCGACAGCGACCCGCTGAGTCTGTTTTCCGAGATCAGGTGTTGGGAGCAACTGAATTGTGAGATTCCTCAGAGTGTTTCTGACATACAGAAGAATGGAGAAGGTATCAGGATCTTGAGGGAGCGAGCGCTGGTGCTAGTCAGAAGCTACAACAGGTCTGTCGCACTCGGTTCATTGTTGCTTTGCTACCTGACACGACGGGCCATTCAGAATCAGTGCACATAACTGGAAATGGACACGTCAGCACCAAACTGCTCCTACCTTTACCGTCTAACTCTCTTTGTGTTTTTGATCAGGATTTTTGAGAGGTTGTCTCCCAATGAGCTGGGTCTGTTCCGAGACCAAGTCCGTGTCGTGGATAGGGCGGTGGAGCCTGGTCGGTCCAAGCTGCTGTTCGTGAATAAAGGAGCTTCTGAGATCTTCATCAGAGACTGCCTCCGCCGTGTAGAGAAGGTTGTGGCAGACACACACACACATCACTTCCTTAGAGATTGTAGATGTTGTGGCAGGTGATTGTGTTGGTCACACATTAGCCTAAGCATGCTTTGCATCTTTTGTCTAAAGGAGATGTCCTACAGTTTAACCAAACCTCAGTCAGCAGCTCCTCTATCACCTCGTTTCTGTGTTGTTTTTTTAACCACTGCAGCTCCATTCGTTAGTTGATAGGTACAAGATTTCCAGCCAGTTAATCTCCAATCTCTGTCAACTGATCAGTGAAACCTTGCTGCTGAAAATAGATGCTGAAACTGCGTACAGGTAACAGCAGACCACATTCCTTCGTCTGATGCAGTAAATAGATACAACCTTGGTCTGTTTTTCATGCTTTAACAGTTTAATTCAGAAGGTGAGTTAGGTCGTTTCTCCCACTCTCCTGTTCTTTAGGAATTTAGAGTTTGAGCAGACCCAGAAGGCTCACCAGATGGACTGTCTCCAGAAACTGCGCTCAGCACACCAGGAAATCGTTAGGAACATGACTGAGATCCACAGCATCTTCGCTAAAGATGGAGCTGAGGTTGGGGCCAGATTTGTGCTTCACGTTCAGCTACTTAGAATCACAAAAACAATGTAAACAACAAAAGTAGAAATATTGTTTCTGTTAGTTTCAATAAAACCAGCTCATTTGCTTCCATCGCTTCACTGATGCTTTTATATTGTCAGAAAGGTGTACGCTAGTACTTTGATGATCTTTGATTGCGTATCTTTTGTTTAAGGTCCAGGAGAACTGGGCGTCCTACACCAGTAAGGTGGACCACATGGTAGAAGAAGCATTCCGACTGAATATCAGCAACTCCATGAACAAGCTTTCCACAGCCATCAATGGCAACCAGAACCCAGGCGCTGCCTTGTTTGAAATCACCATAAATCTACAGCAAACCTCTCCCCAGACCTTTCCGAAGGTGCTCACAGACACAGTTACCATAGAGACATGAAAAGAATATTTGCTGTGTTTTGCTATGATGCATGTCTTCTCTGTTTTAGGAATAAAATATTGAGAACAAAAGCAGTTTTTATATCTTTTCCACGGCAGGTGACGTTCTCACCCTCTCTGAAGAAGCTGGCTGAGATGGTGAACATTTTGCCGCAGCTCATCAGGGCCATCTCAGAGTTTAAGCGCCTCCCTGGACTGCTCTCTCTTCCAGGGTCTCAAGAAAATCCAATCTTTAGGAGCATAGGTGGGAAGCTGTTTCTTTTGTAAATCTTCTATGAAATAGGATGTCTCCAAGCCACTTGGGGATCTGGTGTCTGGTAGGGATGCACCGATCAGGTTTTTTGCTGCTGATCACCGATACCGATATCAAAGAATGCTGATCACCGATACCGATCACGTGGATTGGCCAGAAATTTTCTACAACATTATAATGAGTGCTACAAACTACATAATCTGGGAATAAAGGAAATGTAACCTAATCTAAAATGGTCTGGCTGATCGGTCTGCTTTGATCTATTTTGAAAACTCCGATCAAAACCGATAGGGGCACTATTGGCCGATTGGGATCAAATGCCGATCCATCGGTGCATCCCTAGCATCTGGTGCTTTTTGGTCCTTCAGGACAAGATGAGAAAATTAGAGAGTCTCAGGCTGCCATCATGGCGGGTATGTCAGCCAATGCCATCTGCATGGAGGAGTATAAGAAGACCTGGTACAAATACAGAGACATCTGGGGGATGAACAAGGACAACATCATAAATAATTACAAAAGACAGAACCCTCCATTATCATCTATTGATGCAGACATACAAAGGTACTTACCCAGCTTTACCTTTCACTTTGCACACTTACAGCCTTTCCTTCATGCCTGCTCCCAGTGACTGATAAACAATTACATTAACCAGTTGTATCTGTAAAGTGTTGAGCATCGTCCTAGAGGATCTTCTCATTCCCTCCCAGATACTCGGAGAAAGCTAACAGCGTTGACCAGGAGAAGGCATGTTCCTGCATCCAGTTTGTGAGAGTTGACTGTTCTCCACTCAAGCTGTCCTTGGTGGAGCACTGCCGCGAGTGGAAAGCCAAGTTAACAGAGCTTCTGAGTCAAGAGGCCTGCAGCCGCCTACAGGAGCTCTACTCCACCATTCAGGACAATGCTGACAGGTCTGTTTCTTTTACTGCGCTGTGACTTGTGGCACTAGTTAGAGACACTGAGTTGAGTGAAAATAGGCTAGAATTAGCATATGCTGTATGTTACAATAGGGAGCCTAAGCTGGGCGTACACTGTACGACTTTTTCACTTTTTTGAGCCGATTTTCTACTCGTGCGAGAAGCCACGACATCGGGGCGAGTTTTGCGCTGAGCGTCGTGTAGTGTACAGGGGGTTACGAGAGGCGATTAACACCACGTGACCAGCTGCCGATCAGCAATCGTGAGCTCGCACGGACTTCTGGCGTGTTTAATATTTCGCTCGTCCCTCATGAGGGTATCGCACTGTTGAAGCGGCGCTGCGAGCAGCTGCGACCCAAAAAGTATCAGAACCGCTCACGGCGCAATCCTGCATCAACACCGCTCGCCCGCTATTTCCCTAATAACACACGCTGTTCGTTTTGTTTCTACACGTTTTTTTTTTACTTACAAAGATTGTCAAGAAAGTATGTTTGTCGTGTTCATGTCAAATTAAACTGATCACAAAACACAGATTTACTTTCTTTATTTCGTTTTCCTAATCCAACCCCCATAAATCCCTGTGTGTCCTCCTGCAGCACTCCTGAAGGACAACAGGCAAGACAAGACAAAAAAGTCTGACGTGTTGAGTAAAAACTGCTATTTTTAGCATATTTTTAGGGCCGACGTGTTGCTACCAGACGTACAGTGTGAGCAGTCAGGTCACATGCGAGAACTGGGTCGTACAGTGTGAGCACATGACTCGTGAGATCTGCCCTGCGAGGAAGTCGTACAGTTTGAGCTGAAGCTGAGTGCTACGAGTGAAAAAGTCACACAGTGTACGCCCGGCTTAAGTTCAGCAAACTTCCCACAGGAGGAAAGAACCATCATAAATCTGGTCATTTGGTAACAGCCACTTTGGGGAGAGGAGATTATGTGGTGACGTCACACATGCGACGTGCTGATTTCTAGTTTGTTGTCGTGCTAATTATGAACTTTTGCAAGCTAATAAATCTCAAAGTACGTGACTGACATGGATGAAACACCCATCATTAATTTTTATTTAAATAGCAGTACAACATATGTGTGATCCAGGGCGTGAGGCAAAGCGGGTTAGAAAATAGCGTTTTTAGCTCCATTGACTTGCATTCATTTTTTCGTTCTTCCGGGGACCCGTGATGCAGAAGTTAGGCTCCCTATTGCAACAAGTCATATTTATGTAAACACGTATTTTTTGGAAACTCCTGTTGTGGCAAAAAAACAAGGTAAACTATTTAGCGGTGAGTCAACGGCTTACTCACCACTAAATAGTTTACCTTGTTTTTGCCACAACAGGAGTTGGGATGCATTTGCATCCCCGTACAAGAAACTGTTTAACTGCTGCCTGTAAGAAAAGAAGGCAGGTGGGTCAGGAAAAGCCACTCTTACTGATGAGTATCAGATGTTGTTGATCATATTTAGTTCATGCACGATCAGCGATTTGTGTTGCTGATTCCCATAAAATTAGGAGATTTTAATGCTATAAAGTTGATCTTTTGTTTGTTTTCAGGTTGAAACAAACCCCAGAGACTTTGGCTGATCTTGACAAGAGCTTTACACTTCTGAATACTCTCAGAGCCAATTCTGACAAGACATTCACTCAAGTCTCTGTGATCCAGGAGCAGTTTGCTGTTCTGCAGAAGTATGAAGTTCCTGTGGAAGATTCTGTAAGTATGTTTCAGGTGCAGGTGTGCAGGGACCTCAGTCTCCAGATGCATACTTGGCATCAAAGTGAAGCAGCGATTTGGCGTTGATGTGGTTTAATTATGTAGAAACCTACTTTTGTTGGACAAATCATCTTTATATAATTAAACCAAGAAGATTTTAGAAGATTTCAGGAATTATTAGACATGAGTGATTCTAATCATTATTTCCATCATGCTGTCACATGTGTTTTTTGTGTTTGCAGGTGATGAAAATGCGAGACGGGTTGAACGACCAGTGGGACCTGTTTCAGAGTGTGCTGAAAGACAGCAGCAGCAGTCTGCATAAGCACAAGGAGAACTTTAAGCAGAAACTAGACCAGTCCTATGAGCTGTTTAAAAATAAAGTTGAGGCCACTGTGCACGAGTTCAATAGCAAAGGTTTACACTTGTTTATTACTCTTCCTAATGCTCAGTAATACAAAACTGCATATGCCTGAGTGTTTTACATCGGAATAGGCTGTTCCCTTTGCTGTTGTTTCTGTTTTATTGGCCTTATATATGTATTGTAAAGAATCTTTGAGAAAAAGTTACAACCCCTAAAAAACCAAATTCCACCAAATCGGTGGAAATGCTGTATCAACACGTGCGTACATGTGTATGTGTGCTGGTATGCTTCCTCATATGTTTGTACCTTTCTACTTTTGCACATCCAGGTCCATTTGACAGTGAACTAGGCCCCGACTTAGCCTTGTGTCAAATAGCAGAACATTGCGTCCAACTGGAGATGCTAAAGCAGGAACAAGACACCATCTTTGAAAAGCTGGACTTCTTCAAAATCAAACAAACCTTGTCTAGAAGCATCCAGACACTGGAAAAGGTCTAAATGTCCATACTCTGTGTACATTTCAGACCCTAACAACAAGAGTTGTGTAGGAGTCAGTGGTCACCATTATAACTTTGGACAAACTGCTGGACATAAAGAATGACAAAGATATGTGTCTCAGTCTGGATTCTAACCCTCGAGCTTTGTGCTTGTCCGTGCTGTGCAGGAGTTGGGTCAGCTGCAGAAGGTCTGGGAGATCACAAAAGAGTGGAACAACAACTGGAACAGCTGGAAGGTCGTTCAGCTCTCTGAGCTTCAGGTGGACAGAATGGAAAGTACAGCACAAGAAATGTCCCATGAACTTAATGTGCTTCACAAAGATCTGAAGGTGAGTCCTGCCAAACGGGGACGTGATTGTTTTAAATGAGAGTAGATTTTGGTTTTTGTATCAGTGTTCGGGTCAGACTTTAGCCTCAGCTTTGTTAAAATCCATTCTGAGAATAAATGCCCATGTTTGAGGACCAAGATCAAAATAAAATGTAAATTCCAATGCCAGGGGCTCATAACGGTCGCCATGGTAACCACACATGCGTCTCTTTACCCAGCCTTTCAACTGGATGTGTATGAGGTGTGAACCGTAATAGATGCATTTTACTCACGAGCTCACTTCCCACCAGGAGTGTTTTAGATGCGAAACGGCAGCAAAAGTGTTCCTGTTAGCCTGTTGCAGCGTTAGCGGTTGCGTGCTAGCAACATGAGTTTCAGATTCCCGTCAGTTCTGAGCAGGAAGATATCAAAAACATGCAACCCTTTCTTAGCGCCACAAGGCTATTTGTGTGCGGTACGAGGCGGGTCTTTCAGCTTTTTTAAAAAGGGGTGGGGGAGCATGGGTGGGAGCTACACAATTTGAAAATTTTAAATCTTCTCATCCTCTTCTTGATGATGTCACGCTACAGCTTTAAAAATAAGCAAACTGGAATGCAATCTAAACTGAGGCTTCACACAGAAAAGCATCAAACTAGAAGTCATGTTGAAGAGTCGTAAACAGTGGCTAAGAATGTATTCATTCAGTAATATTACCAAATGATCTGATCAAGCTGCAGGTTACGTGAAATATTCCTGGGCTCAAGACAGAACCCTGAGGTACTCCACGTGGTAATCAGTGGTATCTGAAAAGTATAGGGCTGGTAGATGTACAAATATCACAAACTGGGCATCTTTGGTAAGATAGATAACTTTATATTATCCTATACATCTGTCTGGTCTCACAACAGGATAAAAAGTGGAAAATCTTGGACTACAGTACGAGTCTGATTCAACAGTTCAAGAAAAGGATCCCCCTCATTACTGACCTGAGGAACCAAGCCATGAGAGACAGGTACTCACTCCAACTATCCCCCAACACACACAGAGCTGTGGGATGGACATCATCCAGATGACTCCTTTTGTCAGGAACTGCGAGGTGTTTCTTGCTTTTACAGTCCTGTAGTCCTCTTGTGGAGTCTTCTCTGCTGCCTTTCAGCCAAGCTCAGATAAACAAGCTCACTCTTCATCAGAGGCTGAAGCTTATTTCCCAAGAGACTATCTTGCTGTATTCTGTCCCTTATCAGAAAAGAATTGACTCACAGTTGAATGCATTAACATTCTTATCAACCTAACTCATTCCCTCGTTTTTTCAGTCTAGCTGCTCAAAACTGCAGAAAGGAGTGAAATATTAATAGTTATTCTAACTTTGTGCATGTTCAGGTCTGATACAGCAGCAGGTGAGGTCATTAAAACATAATAGTTGAGAAAGATAAATAAATAAGATTCTTTCTTCTCAGCTGACCTACAAAGAGACTGGAGTCTAGCACTGATCCTGTGTTAAACACCGCCTTCTTTCAGACACTGGAAGCAGATCTACACGAAGCCAGATCACCATTTTGACCCTACCAGTGCCGATTTCACCCTGGAGAAGCTCCTCTCTCTGGGCCTGGACCAGTCCATGGACAGAATCAGTGAGATCTCTGCAGCTGCCAGCAAGGAGCTGCTCCTGGAACAGGTCCAGTTATTTCTGATACCAGGTTTATGCACACGGACAGTCAGTAACTGTGTATTATTCACACAGAGGGATTTTATATGAGGAGCAGTGAAAGAATATGTTATTTAAACAAAACATGATTAGAATAAAGAACATTTAGCTTTTAAACTCACTGAAACCTACGTTTAGCCACTTCTCAGTATTGCATTGTGTTTTTATTTTGTTTGTTTGTTTTAACAGGATCTGGAAGGCATCAGGAAGACGTGGGAGGGACTGTACCTGGATATACAACCCTACAATAAGGAGGACCACTTCTGGCTGAGGTGAGACAGTGAGGAACTCACCGGGCTTGCTTCATTACTCTGAAACAAAAATAGCTTCAAGCATCAGAATGTGGCTGTATGCCTGTGTTGTTATTAATGCAGAGGCTTGGGTTCTGTGTTGGTTTGGCTTGGTTAGTCTCTGGTTTCACGTGTATTTTTAAGCGTGTTTGTCCAAGTTCATGTTTGTTTTGTTGAGTAAGCCTGGGCTTGTTTCCATATTTGATAATATTCACTTCCTGGGTGTCTGAGCTGCTTTCTTTTCCTGTGCAGCATCAGTTTAGGTTCACCCGTCGCTTTAGTTCTCCCAGTCAGTCGCCGCACTTTTATTTTAGCTTTTCACAATTATGTTTTAATTCTGTCTTTGCTTTCATCAGGAATCAGGAAAAGGCGGATCATTTCCTTGTTTTTATTACAGTTTCTTTGTGACAATCAGACCTGTTTTGTCTTGATTTTATCAAACTTTTCCAGGTCATTAATGATCTTCACAGCTTTGCCAATATAAAACTATAAACGTCAGACGTTTATTTACTTTCGTGTTTTCATGTCTTTGGTCTTCTAGATGCACTGAAGACATTTTCCAAGCCGTTGATGACAGCCTGGTTGTCTTGTCCACGCTGAAGGCATCTCGCTTTGTAAAAATCTTTGAGCAGGAGGTGGACCAATGGGAAGGACGGGTGTCTCATGTGCAGGAAGTGGTGGAGATGATTCTCACGGTGCAGCGTAACTGGATTTATTTGGAGGTACACAAGCTGCTGCTCTACGTTGACGACATGTTGCAATATCTAATAATAATAATAATAATAATAGCAATTTAAACCCTAAAAGGTTTTTCCTGTTCCCTCAGAACATTTTCAGTGGAATAGAGAAAGGAAATCAACTTCCTCATGGCTACAAAAAGTTTAAAGGTGTTAGTGCGAGTTGGAAAACCGTAATGAGTCATCTTCAGAAGGAGAGGAATGCCTTGCAGGGAACGCACCATCCTGGTACTACTTCATGCTTCATGGTGGGGGGGGGGGGGGGGGGCATAAATGGTGAAACGTGGTGGCGTCTACCAGAGTGACTTTTTTTTTTATCAAAATCCAAGTCTGTTTTGATTGCTTGTACATATATATATGAGACCAGTTCTTTGTCTTTATGTCTAATTGTTTTATCCTATTTTGAACTTTATTATCTCATCTGCATTTTTTTTTATGTAAAGCTGACTATGTGTCTGTTGCTGCTGCCTATTGGCCAGATCGTTGTTGTAAATGAGAATGAGTTCTCAATCCACTCATCTGGATAAATAAAGAATAAATAAAAATAGAAGAATGAAATAACTCTTGACTCCTCCTCTCTGTCCTTCAGGCTTATTGGACAGCCTGTCTGACATGAACACCTGTCTGGAGGAGATCCTGAAGTCCTTGGATGTTTACCTGGAGACCAAGCGCCAGATCTTTCCAAGGTTCTACTTCATGTCCAATGATGACATGCTGAAGATCCTGGGACTGTCCAAGAATCCCAAAGCCATGCAGCCTCACATGGAGAAGTGTTTCGGCAGCATCAAGAGTCTGAAGCTCGACAAGGTGAGATAAACAACCAATCACAGGGCTGCAAACTGTCCATAGCTGCTTGTTTTTACTCAGTCTTGTTACTTCTTTAAACTAAAAGCTGGTTTTAATATTCAGTTTGTTTGTTTGTTTGTTTGTTTGTTATATAGAGGGAGAATAAACCATTGGCTACTGGGATGATTTCTGCTGATGGAGAGATAACAGCCTTCATCATTCCGGTGGAGCTGGACAAAGCCGTGGAGGTGAAGATGGAATATTAATGCTGTTAGGATCGGATTTACTATAGCTTCTAGGGTTAGTGCTGGTACCCAATCCAGCCTCTCTGCTATCTGCAGAAACTCAGATTATTTAGCCACGGATGAAAGTGGACTAGAATTTATTTCACACATCACTGCAGTCCTTCGGTTTGAAGATCTGTACATTTTTATTATTTAAGAGCCCTGGTTGAGCATCCGGTCTTGTGTCCGTCTTTAGGTCTGGCTGTGTGATGTTGACCAGGCTGTCAGCACCACGCTAAAGGCCCATCTGAACAGCTGCTGTTCAGATCTGAGAAAGCTTAAAGGCCAAAGAAACAAATGGATCACAGCCTGGCTGGGGCAGGTACCATCATCACATCATTCTCATGAAGAAACTTGAGAATGACTGAGTGTGTTTCCTACTTGTTTTAGATAACAGTCACAGCCAGTCTGATCAAATGGACTTCCGACGTGACTAAATGTCTCGCCACGTCCTCCCTAAAGCAGCTCAAGAAGAAACAGGTTGGATTATTTTTCTATTTCGTCTGGATGTTGGTTCGTTTAAACATCCGCTTGATCCATTATAACTGTCTCTCAGGCTGAGGTTCTTCAGAGCTATTCAGAGATGATGCGTGAGAACCTGACCAGAGTGGTGCGTCTGAAGACGGCGGCGCTCGTCTCAGTGGAGGTTCATGCTCGAGACGTGACTGATAAGCTGCTGAAGGCAGGCTGCTGTGATGCGGATGCATTTGAGTGGCTCTGCCAGCTGCGCCTGTACTTGGAGTCGAGCACGGTGAGATGGTGTCAGAGGTTTCTTTAAACGCTTCCTTTGATTTGCCTGCTTTTCTAGAACACACACCTCAGAGTTTATCTGCATCAGGCTATAAAAAAGGCATTTCCTTATCCTAACTCCAGTCTGGATTCAGCACCGCTGATGTTTGTGAAAGCACTAATCCTGTCAAACCCTGAATATGATCCATTTGGTGTTTTGGGTGAAGGTCATTTGCCGACGGACTTGAAGGCTTATTGGTGGAGTTTTACAGATCTGCCACAGTCTGTAGAGGTCTGAATGTGTGGGGATGATCGTTAGCTACTACAGCACCAAAACGTAGCTCAATACTTCTCAGGTTGACTGAGTCGTTATCCGTCTGATGATGGATTCTGATGTTTGGGTGGCCATCTTGAACTGGTTTGATTCCAGACGCTTAAGATTATTTAAAATCTCAAGTGAGAGAAGATGAATCAGCCATCAGTGGCAGGGAAAGGGGCATAATGATCATGTTTTGCAGGCCCAGCTGGTCCACCATTCTCCTGATCTTTCCAGGAAGTCCATGCCTAACGGCACCAGAGCATCAGCATTGTACCGCTGTGGTAATCTGGACAAAGTAAACATCGTTTAACATGTCCGTTTCTCACTTTCAGAGCAACTTGAACGAATGCTGCATTCGACAGATGCAATCACAGTTTAAATATGGCTACAAGTACCTGGTGAACACTGGATGTCTGGTCATCACCCCACTTACTGACAGGTCAGGATAAGTTAGTTCTCCTCTAAATAATCCCAACAGGCTGGGTCTGGTAATTCTGTTTGGTCCTGCCCAGGTGTTACCTGACCCTGACCACAGCACTCCATCTCCACCGGGGGGGCTGTCTAAAAGGCCCTGCTGGCACGGGGAAGACTGAGACGGTGAAGGAGCTAGGCAAGACCCTGGGTGTGAACGTCATTGTTGTCAACTGCTCCAAAGAGCAGGATTGCCGATCCATGGGACGCGTGTTCTCTGGTCTGGCTCAGGTTCGGAGGAGTTCTGACCAAAACACCCAGTCAGTGTGTCTGTGTGACTCACTTCTTCCTCTCTCTGAGCAGCTGGGGGCGTGGGGTTGCTTCGACGAGCTGAACCGAACCAGCGTAGAGGTGTTGTCAGTGGTGGCTCATCAGATCCTCTCAATCCAGTCCGCCCTCGAAGCGAGACAGTCTGACTTCCTGTTTGAAGGAAACAAAATCCGGCTGGTCCCATCATGCGGCATCTTCGTTACCATGGATACTGGTAGGTAAACAACTGTGCTAGAGCCTTGATTGGGTTTCATATTTATCTGTCATCACTGAGAACGTACTTTAGAGTGGATTCATAATGGCGGGTGCAGCTAAGTAGCATTAGCTAACACAAGCATGGCCAAAGCATTTTCACAGATACTGAGCTATAATGTGTTGTCATGGTAACAAAGAGTCATGCTCATCGAGTATTCTGAGTCAAACGCATTAAGCGGATAATTTAGACTAAAAGTTTAGCAGTGATTGTTGCTGCTTTAGCAACATAACAGATGGATTCAATGAAACTTAAAGAAAGTCATTAATGGATGTTCATCTGCAACCCAACTACGATTCAAGATGGCCACTGCTGCCAACTAATCTTAGAAAACAGCTGAGTTCATTTCAAAGTTACTAAGCTAGATTCAGCTTGCCGGTATCTTCATGTTATTCGCAGGACATTTAAGTGCAGATTTCAGGAGTGTAACGAGCCTGTTACCGGGGGAACACACAAGATGGCACACCACACCGGTCTGTCAGATTTCCCCACACTGTATTAGTAGCGTTCTCATGGTATAGCAGACACCATTTCTCTCGCACCCGCCTGCTCTCACTCATCAGCGTGCTGAATCCTGTTTAATAGAGAGCAGGGCTGATTACTGATCCACCACAGCTGCTTCTGCTCTCAGTGTCTTCTTCTCCTCTGCTGCCTCGCCCTCTCCCACACCCCGTCACAAGGAGTTTTTGCAAAAAATAAATTTTAATTCAAGGTTCTTTTCTAGATTTGACCAAAGCAGATGGAACACCATCAGTCCTCATTTTGTGTGTTTATTATGAATTCTCCAGGATTTGCAGGTCGCTCTGAGCTTCCTGATAACCTGAAGCTCCTGTTCAGGCCGGTCTCCATGGTGACGCCAGACTCTGCTTCCATCGCTGAGGTCCTGCTGTTTGCTGCAGGCTTCAAGAACTGCAAGGTGCCATTAAAGAAGAGACAGTTTGTCTTTCTGTCCCGTTAAATCTTTTTACTGACCAAAGCTCACTTAAGCAGTGACTTTGGGAAATTTAAGAGAAAAATATTTCATTTTAGTTACTTTGTTGTAAATTTTAGAAGACTTGGAGCTAAATGTGATCTTTAGCGACCTCACCCCTCTGATTCAGGAGGTTAGCCTCAGTCAGGTGCTGCTGATTCAACTTTTCATTTTTAAATCATAAACTGATGTTTCTTAGGAGTGTCTGAATGAAAATAAGAAGATCTTTCGTGTATTATTTATGGTATAAAAATGTTCAGTAGTTGATAAACATGAGCTTTAAAGGGATAATCTAACCTTACTAAACATGTCTGATTTAATTAGTCCCTTGCTAGGAAGGCAGTCACTTTGAACTCGCTGATGGTGCAGCAGCTGTCCCAGCAAGACCATTATGACTTCAGCCTTCGTTCTCTCACCTCGATGCTTCGCCATGCAGAAAAGAAGCGTCACTCTTTCCTCGACCTTCCTGATGAAGAAGTGTGTCTCACTCCCTGGATCTTTTCGTTCTGTTTAGAGCTCCTAAATACACACATGCACAAATGGCTCCACTCATCTGTCCTCAGATCCTTCTGACAGCTATAAAAGACATGAACATCCCAAAGCTGACCTCTGCTGATTTGCCTCTGTTCAGCGGGCTCATCCAGGACCTTTTTCCTGCAGCGAGCACACCCATGGTGAATGACAGCGTGGTAAGTAGATCAAGGTCACAACACAACTGGTGGGTCATCCTCAGAGCCAGAACATCTAAGGAAAATACCGTACTTCTACAAAACACAACCTGAAGCTGATAACTGATCCATTCATCTGGTTCTCTGCATTTTCATTTCCACCTTTTTTAAAGGATTCATCTTATTGGATTAATGGGTTTACATTTTAGGTCATATGGCGTAACTCTGCTATGAAGTTAGAACTAATAATCAACCTGGTTTTGTAATAAGAAAAGGTCTTTTATGATTTATTGGCATGGTAACTCCTATTTAACTCTTGCTTACCTGAAGCTGAAAGAAGCCATAGAGCTGGAACTACGTCAGAGCAGTCTGCAGGTGACTCAGTTCACCGTGACCAAAGTCATGCAGCTCTATGAGACCAAAGCCTCCCGACGCTCCTGCATGCTGGTGGGTCAGACGGGCAGTGGTAAGAGTGTAACATGGAGGACTCTGCAGAACGTCCTCACCGCCCTGCAGCAGCAAGGAAAGCCGGGCTTTCAGCTGGTCCAGGTAGGTGTGTGCGGATGACGAGGGTCATCAGAGGCTGCCTGCTTGTGTTTCTAGACCAGAGTAACTAAGTTATTGTCTGGATATACCAACCAATCCACACCTGGAAAATAAATGATCTGAGCGATCCTGATGCTTCTGTTTCTGCAGATGTGTCCTCTGAACCCAAAGTCGTTGAGTCTCAGTGAACTGTATGGAGAAAGGGACATTTCTACTAATGAGTGGACAGACGGAGTGTTGTCCTCCCTCATGAGAGCCTTTTGTGCTGGTACTGCTGTCACACACACACACACACACACACACACACACACACACATAGTGTTGCTTCTGACACACTGTGAGCATCATTCCGTCTCTCAGATGAGAAACCAGATGAGAAGTGGATTGTGTTTGACGGGCCTGTGGACACTCAGTGGGTTGAGAGCATGAACTCTGTAATGGATGACAACATGGTGCTGATGCTCATCAACGGTGAGAGGATTTTGGTGCCTGAGCAGGTGAGACCAAAGCACGTAAACACTTGTATGCTACATTCTATCTTCATTAAGAGTTTCTAGTAATGGAGTTGCTAATGCTAATGGTAGGGATGCACCGATACCGATTCCAGTATCGGTATTGGTAAAAGTTAACCGATACCAATGCAGTTGCTTGAAAATGGCTTCACTGTAACTTGTCATTTCTGTTCACCTCATATTTTATTTTTGGGATTATTTCTATTCATATGTTTTACTTTTTATCTACCTCACAGTCTTTTCCTGTTGAAAGAAGAGAAGAAAATAAAATCTGTATTCCAAATCATTGCATTTTTTTGTGTGGTAGAAGTATCGGTATCGGTAATCGGTATCGGCGAGTATTCAGATCCAAGTATTTGTATCGTATCGGTTTGGAAAAAAGTAGTATTGTTGCATCCCTAGCTAATGGATAGCTTCTACTATTTGGGACGTTCTCTACTGTTTCCTGAATGCTAAAACAACAGCCTCCCCCGTCGTGAGTCAAGATGGATGAGTCCATGAATGTTAAGTGACAGTGTGATGTAGATCTGTCAGGATTTTCAAGTCCTAGAGTTTCACCGTCTAATTTTATCAGAAGCAATTGCAAGAGATAGGTGTAGGAGACTATTTTCATGTTCAGCCTGCATGAAACACGCAGAGTTACTGATTATAATCAGAAATAATCATTAAAACATAGCTTTTTAGTCCTCCACACCTTTAAATGGGATATCTGGATATTTGCTAAAATGATTTCAAATGAGTAGGCGGGTTTTCCAGCCCACAGCCATAATGCTACAGCCCCGTAGCACCTGGGGCTTCTCTACTGAACTTCAGATCCATCTTTATTTTTGCAAATGGGTTAACCAACAAATGGAGCATCAGCTACCAAACACGTTCTGCCCTCTAACCAAAGCGAAACTGGAAAATATATAAAGATGATATTTGTTATTTCAGGTCTCTCTCCTGTTTGAAGTAGAGAACCTGGCTCTGGCCTCTCCAGCTACAGTGTCCCGCTGTGGAGTGGTCTACTGTGATTCTGCTGCTCTTGGATGGAGGCCTTTTGTTTCCTCCTGGCTGGAGAAAAGACACAAAGTACAACATCCTCTCCCAGTAAGCCACAGTCCTCTTTTACTAACTCACTGCAGTAGCATCTGACCCTTTTCTTTTTCCTCCTTGTTCTTCCTTCAAAGGCTGAAGTGGAGCACCTAAAGACTTTATTTGATAAATATATCGAGAGTACGCTGAGCTTTAAGAGGACCAACTGCAGGGAGCTCATCCCCATCAGTGACCTCAATGGTGTCACCTCCCTCTGCCACCTGTACGACTCCCTGGCCACATCCAGCAGTGAGGTACCACTAAAATTAACTCTTTAATTATTCATTTCACTGGAAGAATCTAAAATGTGAGAAGTGTAAGATGAGTCTTCTTGTTCCTTCAGCTGGGCTCCTCAGACATGACGGAACTAGGTAAGGTGGTGGAGCTCTGGTTTGTCTTCAGCCTCATCTGGTCCATTGGTGCTTCTGTTGACAAGGACGGGCGCAGGAAGATAAACAACTTCCTACGAGAGATGGGCGGGTCCTTCCCTCAGAAGGTCTGGTGCAGTTAGACCTTACTGGGGTTGGATTCACCTAATGACCCTTCATGGGTCAGAAGGTGTTGGTTGAGTGGAGAATGCACAGAGCCAGCTGTAGAGGGCTGTTGGGACTAAGAGGAATAAGACAGAAGTTTTTATTGTCCCAGCAGCCATCTTTAATGCCAGAGTTAGACTCAAATGTTGGGTCATTCTGTGTGATCCTGTGCAAACTTGTCCCACGTTTCCATGGACTCTCAGCTTTCCATGGAAAATGTCAGCTCAATGTCAGCAAAATCAATAAAACTGAGTTGTAGCCATGTTTTTAATTTATGAGATCAACTGGTGACCATCTTGGCTTTATTTCACTCTAACCCAGCCTTTCCACTGGATGTGTAAGCGGTGTGTAACGTAACAGACGCCTTTTACCCGTGAACTCCGTCTCCATCTAGGTGATTTCATGTGATGACAGCATGTCTCCATGTGGTTTATGCTTACACATCCTGTGGAAAGGCTGGCCAAGGTAAACCAGCAGATACCTTTCTGATTGCCCCCTAGTAGCACTCGTTTGCTAGAGCATGAAGACAAACAACAGGAAACAATGATGAGCCCCATCAGAAGAGGATCTGTGTAAATAAAAACCAAATGCTTTATAAGCTGTTGAATGTTTGTGTGAATTGGTTTGACCTAAATAACAAATTTGTCCTAAAATAAATGCAGGCAATCGATGCCATCTTTAGTGGTCAGTAAAACACATGGAATACAGTAAAAATCTACTTTTCCAAGTATTCACAGTGTTTAGTATGTAGAATCCTTCTAATGACATCTTTAAATTCACTAAACCTTTTTATTTAAACCTTTCAGGACACAATCTATGAGTACTACGTGAACCCAGATACCAAAACCTGGGTTCCCTTTGAGTATGAACTACCATTGAGGTGGAACTACGATCCCACGTGAGCTTAAATCACTGTTTATTATTAACTGTATGTAACTTTCTAAATGAAAATGGAGGATCTTTACCAAACATCTGGTAAACATCTGTGTCCTGCAGTGCTCCGTTCTATGAGATCATGGTTCCCACGGTGGACACGGTGCGCTACAACTTACTGGTAAATGCTCTGGTGTCGAGTCAGTACCCAGTGCTGCTCACTGGACCAGTGGGAACTGGGAAAACCTCACTGGCCCAGAGTGTCCTGCAGGGACTGGGTGACAAGTGGACATCCCTCACTGTCAACATGAATTCACAGGTTGGCATCTTTCACATTTCCTTACGATTAACATCATTATGATGTTATTGTCTGTGTTCTAATTGGGTTTTATTTGGCAAACACCCAGCATGCCCTCCAGATGTACACCTTTAGGGTGACAGTGCTGATGTGCATCACTTAGTCATTCAATTTAATTGTATTTTATAGCGCCAAATCACGACAAGAGTCGTCTCAAGGCACTTCACACAATAAACATTCCTATACAGGTCAGTTCATTAAGCCAATCAGTAAAAAGTTTCCTATACAAGGAGCCCAGCAGATTACATCAAGTCACTGACTAGTGTCAGAGTCTTTACAGCAATCTTCATACTAAGCAAGCATTTAGCGACAGTGGAGAGGAAAACTCCCTTTTATACCAAGTGGTGTTTCTATGGTTTCATTGTGATTTCTTAATAAATCTTCGATTTGGTGAGAGATAAACTTTATTGTATTTATCCTAGTGAATCTATAATTAAACAGGTAAACTAGTAGTAGCACATTCAATGTCAAAGGAAGTTTAATGTTATTATCAGGATAGGGAGAATGTTTAAGTGGTTAGCAGCAGTGTTATGGCCCCCTCCATGAGGCCACCACAGCTCAGCAGAACAGTATTGTCGCTTCTTCTGGGGAGGAAAACACTTAGAGAAAGTGTAGTAGCACCTGCACTGATCGAAGCACCGTCCAGCTGACTCACCTTCTAATAGGTAAAAACGGAATAGTGGGTCGTAATAGGGTTGGATGTGCAACTCACTTTTGTAATCTCACTGACGCTTGTATTGTTTAAATATTTCATGGTGCAACAAAGGTACCCAAAAGTTAACCATCGTTATAATTGGCTAAAGGAACCCAAACCGTTCTAAATTCACCCTTTGCCGTTCTGTGGTCTGTGTATTCGTGGTTTTGTGGGCTGTGTCCCAGCTCGGGTTGTGCAGGCTTGCCTGATCTCCGTGGTCCTGTGGTGTTGTTATCGTTCGCTGCTGGTATCTGAAATATTGGTGTCGGCTGTCCCATCGCGAACATCGTATTTCTGTGTTGTATTGTGGTTTTAAATCTGTGCCAAAGTGTTAAAAACCTGGCTGTGAACTTTGTTTCAGCTGCCGACCCATCGTGTCTCTGTGTGTGAAAAACCTGCAGGTTCTGTTCTCTTCTGTGTACGTATGAGAAAGTATGAACTGAGAGGTACTGAAAAAAAGGAAATAAGCAAGTATGAGCTTGTTTGACTAAAGTTCTGGGGCGTTGAGCCGTTCTGGTGTGTGTGTGTGTGTGTGTGTGTGTGTGTGTGTGTGTGTGTGTGTGTGTGTGTGTGTGTGTGTGTGTGTGTGTGTGTGTGTGTGTGTGTGTGTGTGTGTGTGTGTGTATGTGTATGTGTATGTGTGTGTGTATGTGTATGTGTGTGTGTGTGCGTGCGTGTACAGAGAGGGAAAGACACAGGGAAGTTGTTGCGTTAAGGATAAATTTGGGAGGTTTAGGAGCAATTTAAGGTCCGGTTGATGAGCGTGGGCGGGAGTCAAAGTCCGACTGGGCCACATTTCCAGCTTCTGCCCCCAGAACAGGGGGAATTATAGAAACCCTCAGAGGCTTAGCCGAATGCAGATCGACATCGAATCCCTCTGTGTGTTTTGAACTTTCTTTGAGGTAAAAGAGCGGTTAACAGGCTCATGACAGATGCCTTAGTCCATGTTTCCTCCTAATAAAGTTTTAGTTCATATTTTCCCCTAATAAACCTGGTTTTGTTTTGGATTCTACAATGTAGGTTCTGTAACCATTGTTGACTGAAGTCCTGGTTATCATTCAGATGTTTTTTTATCCTTTATCAGCATATTTTCTCTTAATCAGTGTTTGTTATTATAATCATCTTAAAATTACTCATCTTTGATCATTTTTTATACTCATCCAATTTATTACAGGTTGTTGCTTGTTTTACAGTTTTTGAGGATCACTAAATATTTTGTTATCTTTTGGTGTGTTAGAGGTTGGTTCTTGCATTACAAACTGTTTACACTTAATCGTAGTTTGTTGTTATTATTTTATTCTGCTACTCATAGAAGGTGACCTATGTGTCCACAGGGAGGTTACTCTCCTGACTGTTTATCATCTTACTTGAAGTTCGATTGATAATGATGGTTGTTTAGGGTGAACTCTGTTTGAAACAGGGAGGAGTGATAGGTAAAAACTGATGTCCACCTCACCTTGTGAATAATGTTATTCTTTCAAACAGAGTTCATTAGCCTTATTTACATTTAAAGTGGTGCAGGAAGGATGACCTCGCCTGAGTACTTTTTATTATGATTAGAAGCCAGACCCAATGTGTGCTTCTCTTGGTTGATTGTCTGTGAAGAATTTGTGTGTGTATGCTTATCTCTAACTCTGTGTGTGTGTGTGTGTGTGTTCCAAATAAAGTCTCTCTCCAGCCTTGCTTGGGTTGTGAGAGGAAATCGCCGTGACTCTGGTGTGTATTTGATTATCTCACCCCTTGCAAAATATTTTGATGTTGTTACATTTGTGGGTTTTTTACAATTTACCAAATTATCAATCTAATTCCTCTGTGTGTTTTGAACTTTCTTTGAGGTAATACGAGATCAATAAAAATTACCTAACACCTTCACTCACAGACTTCACTTAGAGAAGACTGATAGCTGGCTTTAGCGGGATTATGTGAATTTCATCTACAGTGTATGTTTTAGCACTAAATCATGTCAAAGAGCACTATTCCTGGCTAAGTGGTATATTCTGGTGTTTAACTTTCATGCTTTTTTAAGGCTGGAAAACACAGAAATATCGTATTTAAGGGGCTTCAGATCAAACATGAAGCTCAACATGCCAACTGTTAACATTTAATCACTAGTCTAATAAATAATCATTGTGACTTGGAGTAAGATGTTAGAGATGTTTTACCAGTCTGTTTTGCCAGCACCATCTTCTTTGCTTTCGTTTGTTGGGGCAGTAGCATCAGAGCCAGCGACACTAACACACTTAATAAGATCATTAAGAAAGCTGGCTCTGTACTTGGTCTCAGACTGGACACCGTGGTGGAGATGAGGATGCTGAATAAACTTTTATCCATCATGGAAAATGACCAGCACCCCCTCCATCACACAGTAGACAGACAGAGGAGCACCTTCTCATGCAGGCTGCTACAGCTCTGCTATCGAAGGGAACGTTACAGGAAGTCTTTGCTACCATATTCCATCCCATTGTACAACAACAACAACTAAACTCTGGTTCATAATGTACAGTCAGTACGCTTTTCATGATTTATACATTTCAGCCATTTTATATTGTTATTGTTTTTAACTGTCCTAATGTGTGCAATACTGCTGCTACACTGCAATTCCCCATCCTAGGATCCATTAAGTATGTCTATCTCTCTATCCCTCTCTCCAGACCACATCTAACGACATCCAGACCATCATACAGACCAGAACAGAGCAGAAGACCAAGGGTGTGTTCCTGCCTGCCGGAGGGAAGCAGCTGCTGTGTTTCCTAGATGACCTAAACCTTCCTGCTCCTGACCCATTTGGCTCCCAGCCGCCACTGGAGCTGCTGCGATTCTGGACCGACTACGGCTTCTGGTACAACCAGCAGAAACTCAACCGGCAGTTTGTCAATGTGAGAGAGGAAGAGCTAGAGACAAGAGATGGTTTTTGTTTCACTTAAATTACCTGAGTGGTCTAATTACTGTAAAACATCTGTTCTCTGCATCAGAACATGTTGTTGATGGGATCCATGGCGCCTCCTGGTGGAGGGAGGACTCGGATCTCGGCTCGTTTTCAAAGCAGGTTCAACCTCATTAATATGGCCTTTCCTGAAGTAAGTCCTGCTTTTTATTTTTATTCCTCAAATGAATAAAACATTTAAATGTGTTTTTATCCTGTGTAATTAAAGCTATAATGCAGCAAAACTGTTTTACCACCAGGTTTATTCCGTTGGTTCATTCTAGTTTTACTTTTCTTACTTTTGACAGTATCCTGTCATTTCTCAGTCTCCCTCATGAAATTGACACCCACACAGTTAATGGAGTAGTTTTATGCAGCGACTGATCTGTGACGTGTTCAGACTTCTGCTCTTCACACACACAGGAGTCCCAGGTCAGGAGCATCTTCAGCACCATGATCAACCAGAGGCTGCAGAATTTTGAGGAGGACATGAGGCCGATGGGAGACACTGTGACTGAGGCCACCTTAAAGCTGTACAACGCTGTCGCAGGCACTTTTCTCCCCTCTCCAGCCAACACACACTACCAGTTCAGCCTCAGAGACATCTCCAAGGTACAGATGGAAAAACACAAGCTGGCTGCCACATCTTATCAATAATAAACTGCAAAAATGAGTTTCAACAAAGTCGGTGGGGAAAGTAAAAGGTGCTTAGCTAGAAATCTCTTTTGCTAGTTTTAAGAATTTCAGCCAATCAGCTCTCCCCATCAGCAGATTGTTTTCCCTACACCCCCAGCAGGTCCCTGAGGTCCAGTGACTAGTGGTTGTGCAGCACCAGGCTAAAGACCAAAGGTGTTAGATCATTTGCTGCTGTGGCCCCCAGACTCTGGAACTCTCTCCCCCTGAGCCTGAGATCAGTGGACTCAGTGGCCTCCTTTAAAAAGCAGCTGAAGACTCACTTGTTCAAGCTGGCTTTTGTATGACCTTCTTCACCACTCTCTCTTCATTCTGCTCTTATTTCACCTTTCCCAGGATCCACTGATTTCCCTCTTTCCCATTCATTTTATCTCTCTCTTTCCTTACATTTTTAATCACTTTTTTTCTCATTTTAACCATAGAGCCCAAAGTGAGTTTTTGCTCATTAAATAACAACAGACAGCTACAGTTTATAAGCTCAACTCTCCCATATTCCAGCTAGAACTGACAAAGATCCTCGGACGAGAAGCGAAACGTCTTCAAGAAACCAAAAAAGTCCAGTAGCCTTCATTTGAACCCTTTGGATTATATAAAAGGTTGTTTTCTTTCTTTCTTTTGTAAAACACAGAGCTAACAGATTAGCCATCACACTTAAAATCTGATCTAAAATAATCTAAAAGATTTAAATTTAAAACTGTGTGATGGAAGTCAGCAGGAAATCCCTCAAAGAATCATCAACCTTGAATAATTTCTGTCTGTTGTAGGTGTTCCAGGGTCTGTTGAGAGCTCATCCAGAGTGCCAAGATACCAAAGAGCACTTCACAAGGCTGTGGATCCACGAGTGTTACAGGTAAACACACACACACACACACACACACACACACACACACACACACACACACATGTCTGTCTTTCTATCATAGTGAGGACCCTCCATTCACTTCCATTCATTTTTGTGATTCCACCATGCCTAACCCTACTAACCCTAATCCCAACCCTAAGCATAACCAATGCTGATCTATTCCTAACCTTAACTAAAACTTAATTCACACCATACCTCTAACTGGTATAGTAAGCTTCTGGTATGGTTCTAAAAAAAGCCAGGACCAAAAAATTGTCCTCACTATGATAAATGTCCTCACATTGTAGAGAAAATGTTCAAAATGGTCCTCAGTATGTAGTATGTACAAGAACACACATCTCACACACACACACACACACACACACACACACACACACACACAGACAGATTTCTGCTGTGTGTTCTAATGGTATCCTCTGCTCTTTCAGGGTGTTTTCAGACCGGCTTGTAAACCAGGAGGACATGAACACCTTCACTGGTCTGGTGGAGGACACGCTGCGCTCCCTCTTCACCCTCTCCCTCAAACACATTTGGCCAAATAAGCAGTCCCCCATATTTGGTATCTGCCAGAAGTGATTTCCTTTCACCTTCAGTCTAAAATATTAGCATGAACATGCTGAGCTGTTTACTTTTCTGTTTGTGTATCAGGTGATTTCCTAAGGGGCTCTTATGAGGAGATTCAGGACATGGATGATCTCAAGATGTTCTTGAAAGACAAGCTGAAGGAGTACAACAAGACATCTGGATCGGCTCCCATGAACCTCGTGTTCTTCCAGGATGCCATTAAACACAGTACGCTCGAGAACACCCCCCCCCCCACACACACACTCTCACACACCCTCACCCCAAACCAAGTTTGATTTTCCTTTTCAGCTTCTTTTTATTTCCCTAAAACGTGTTTTAGTTGTAGTTTTGTGTTTCCTCCACAGTAACGCGTGTTTTACATGCGATCAGCCAGCTCAGAGGAAACATGCTTCTCATCGGTGTCGGAGGCTCCGGTAGAAAGAGTCTATCCAAGATGGCCGCCTTCATCTGTGGCTATCAGGTGTTTCAGGTGGAGGTGACCAAACGGTACTGCAGACAGGAGTTCAGAGAAGGTGAGCTCCAACAACCAACCCCACGCGCGACTGCGTTAAGATCGGCTCAGGGTTTGGTTTTTTGTTTTCCTGTTCAGACGTCAAGAAGCTTTACCGTCTAACGGGTGTGGACAACAAGCCCACCGTCCTCCTGCTGAACGACCTCCACAACATAGACGAATCCATCTTGGGAGACATCAACAATATCCTGAGTTCTGGAGAAGTGCCGGACCTCTACAAGCAGGAGGAGTTTGCTGAGGTCAGGAGTGTGTTTCTGCATTTCTTTTTTGTTGGCTGGTCTTAGACCAGCCTTTAGCTCTAGTGATCCAGGAAGCTACAACAGGGAAGATAGTGACTATTTAAAATGCTTCAAAGCGGCTCAAACATCCCTTCAAGTGTCACGCAGCAAACGTGTGTGTGTGTGTGCAGGTGTGCAGAGCCCTGTCTGAGTTTGCCAGAGAAGACAACATCCCAGAGACGCCTGACTCACTGTTCAGCTACCTGATGGGGCGAGTCAGGAACAACCTGCATACAGTGCTCTGTATGAGCCCAGGGGGAGGAGCCTTCAGGTGGGTTCTGTCATGTGATGTGTTAAGAGACGCAATGAGAGGAAGTCCGTGTCTTCTGGATTGGTGGTTCCTGTAACATCAGCAGCAGAGACACTGTGGGTGGTAGAAGGGTTATAAACAGTACACTTTGCTGCTCTGTCCATTTAACAGTTGTTTTTGTTTAAGATCTGATTCAACCCAACTTAAGACTCTACTGGTGGAGAACAAGGACTTTTAAGGATTTTTCGCACTTGTTTAGTTTGCATTTTAAATGACCTATCACATTCCATCATTTTTTTATTTCCACAAATAAGCAGATTTTTAGTTTTATCCATAAACCAATTATTTACCAATTTAAGATTTAGAGATAATACATTTTCATTCCGTTTTTTCATATTCATTAAAAATTTCAATTTGGCATTGTTTAACTGTAACTCGGCCTTTCCACCGAACACATACGCATCGCATAACATCCGTAAAGTGTTGTACGCAACAATCGGCCGCCTCTGTAGGGGATAAGTGTGTCTCCACCAGCCATGAATTGGCGCCACAAAAGCATAGGGCTTCGTCACACTGCAAAAATTACACTTCAAATCTATTTCTTATGTGCTGCACTTCCTGAGCTGGTCAAGCTCAGCAGTACAGATCAGGCCAGACAGATGTCAAACATCAGAGCAGCATAAAGCTTCTGAAAACTTTCAAAATAAAAGTCTCATGCAAACTTCCAGTTTCCTTACTATTAAAAGAAAAACCTATGACACCTCCATTCGAACAGACCAGCTGCATGGATCACTTCTGCAGCTGTTTCATGTCTGAGACGCTCCCTGTGGGCAGGGATGCATCGCTGAGTTTGTGGGTAAAATGTTACGCAAGCGTCCAGTGGAAATGTCTGGTAACACATATTGGTTATTATTAGTGTTTTTTTTAACCAATGCTTAAACTGTTTGTTAAATTATGCCAAGTTTGATCATATTTTACTCAGTTGAATCTGATAGAAGTGTCATTACAGTATTTTCATGAAGTATTAAGTTTTGGTTGTATTTTAATCTTTAACTAATGCTAAGTAAACTCTAACAAATCACACAATCCATATAAAAATACTTAGTTTGACCTATGTAGTGAAAAAACATAAAATATTATGTTTACCAAACACAGATCTGTTACATGACATCATATTTGCTACATTGTTTCATGTTAGTTACATTTTTATGATAATTCAACAGGTTGTTTTTTGAGTGTAACTACTAAGACTTGCCAATGTTGTTTATCTGAAGTTCTCAAATGGCTTAAGTCAAGAAGGTGTTTGATAAAATCTATAAACAAAGATGTCCCAACAGGAAGCGTCTCCTCCAGTACCCCGCCATAGTCAGCTGCACCAGCATGGACTGGTTTGGTGAGTGGCCCAAAGAGGCCCTGCTGGAGGTGGCTGAGAGGCGTTTAGATGGACTGGACCTGGGATCTGGGAGAGAGGTAGGGAAGGATCACACACACACACACACACACACACCATTAGCATGGAGACTCCTGATTTCAGTGCTACATCGTGTGCTCCCTCGTGTCGTAGATCCATAGAAAGGTGGCCAGTTTCTTTGAGACCTTACACCAGTCAGTGCAGCAGGTGTCCCACAGGATGGAGATGGAGATGAAGAGATGTCGTTATTATGTGACGCCCACCAGCTTCCTGCAGCTTGTGGCTGGATACAGGAAGTATGCACCTTGTTCTTTCCCTTGTTTATGACTCTTCCCACAGATTGAGTCAGGTGTCAGGAGCAGCTTATCGGAGAGAACCAGCAGCACACGTACATTTCTGCAACTCTCGCCTCTTTTCCTCGATCAGACCGTTGCTCTTACTTTGTGTGTCTTCAGACTGTTGGCAGAGAAGCGTGCTGAGCTGGAAGAGCAGGTGAACAAGCTGAGGAACGGGCTCATTAAGATCAGAGAAATACGAGAGAATGCTGAGGTCATGTCTGTGGAGCTGGAGACGGCCAAGAGGCAGGCGGTGGAGTTCCAGAGAGAGTGTGACCAGTTCTTAGAGGTCATCGCACAGCAGCAGAAGGAGGCCAGTAGACAGCAGAAGGTACGTGTCATCAACACCTAAAAGGGGTTAAATCAACATAAACGTTTAACAGAAGGCTGATGTGTGTCTTCAGACGGTCGGGGTCCATCGTGAGAAAACTAAGAAAGAAGAGCTGCAGTGTAAAATCATGGCGAACAATGCTCAGGCGGAGCTGGACAAGGCCATGCCGGCCCTGGAGGAGGCCATGAAGGTACATCCTGGTCCTCTGGGATATTTTTAATCTCAACACACTTTTACCTTTTGTTTACTCATTCCTCTCAGGCTCTGGAGTCTCTGAATAAGAAGGACATGATAGAGATCAAGACGTATGGCCACCCTCCGGCGCTGGTGGAGATGGTGATGCAGGCGGTCATGATCCTTCTGGGAAAAGAGCCTTCCTGGGCCGAAGCTAAGAAGCAGCTCGGTGAGAGGAACCAGCAGAGACGTGCACATGCTGCTTTAAGTGAAAACCAGCTAAAAGTCAGCATTGTTTTTCCTCAGGGGATTCCAACTTCATCAAAACGGTGATCAACTTCGACAAGAACAATGTTCCTGACCGCGTTCTGAAGAGGATCGGCCAGTACTGCCGCCACGCCGACTTCCAACCAGGGATCATTGGCAAAGTGTCGCTGGCTGCCAAGTCCCTGTGCATGTGGGTCAGAGCAATCGAGGTAACACACACGTCACTGCAGCATGTCCCAGATAGCTCACATAAACCTACTGGGAGTTGCTTTTGAGTAAAGCCTGAAACATTCAGCAAGACTCTGAGTTTAAATCAACATGATAACAGATAATCCCCACGTGTGTTACATCTGTCCAGATGTACGGTCGTGTCTACAAGGAGGTGGAACCAAAACGAGCCCAACTCAACGCTGCACTGAGCCAGCTGGCAGACAAGCAGGAGGCGCTGAGCCAGGCTCAGAGCAAACTACAGGAGGTACGACGCCCTGGTACATCCGCTGTTATACTTCTGATGCAACAGTGTGTGTGTGTGTGCGTGCGTGCGCGTGTGTGTGTGTGTGTGTGAGCAGGTCGGCGAGAAGCTGGCTCGCCTCCAACTTGAACATGCTGAGAAGCTGGAGATGAAGGACAGCCTGAGGAAGAAGTTAGAGGAGATGGAGATGAAACTGGACCGAGCCGATAAACTGGTGTCGGGTCTCGCTGAGGAGAGAGTCTGCTGGGAGGAGAGGGTGGCTGTAAGACACACAAAAGCACACACACACTCACTCTCACACACACACACCTAATCTGTACATTTGCTGCAGGGTTTGGAAGAAAACATGGGACACCTTATGGGTGACTGTTTGCTTGCAGCATCCTTCCTGTCCTGCATGGGACCTTTCCTGCCTGTGTACAGAGATGAGCTGCTTTCCATCTGGAAGAAGAAGGTCTGACGTCCTAACACACACACACACACACTGAAATTTCAGCCCTATGACAAGTGAAACTCATTTTCTCTCCCCGGTTCTGTCTCTGTGTCCATCAGCTTGTAGATCTAGAGATCCAGTTTTCTCCAGGGTTCCGTCTGACTGATTTTCTGTCCAAATCTGCGTTGGTGAGGGACTGGAATGTCCAGGGTCTGCTCTCTGATGTGTTTTCCACTGAGAACGGACTCATCATCACCCATGGGAACAGGTCAGGATCATAATCGTAGTCTTTAAAAGTAGCCAGTAGTGTGTATGTGTGTGCATGTGTTAGTAATGTAGATGAATATACCACAGACTGTGTTTCCTCCTTCATCAGGTGGCCACTGATAGTGGACCCTCAGGGCCAGGCTGTGGAGTGGATCCAACATCTGGAAAAGGAGAAGGTGCTTCTATGCTTATCTCTTATAGCCTGTGAGCTGGTGGACCTGGAAACAGCAGAGTCCAACTCAACAGATAACATGTAACATTTGAGGCAGATTATAACTCTGCATGGGTATAACTCTATCTGAGCTCCCATGATGCATCACTCCTCCACCCCACTTGTTAAAATCACAACTGACTCCAACAAACAGAGGCTGATTCAGGTTATAGGAAATATAGCAAATGACCTTTAAAACGCAGCAGCTAATCTGGATTAGTTCTGATGTCTTTGTTGTACTTTTATGTGCCAGCTGTTGGTTAGGCCAGATTCACACTGCAGGTCTTGCTGCTCAGTTCCAGTTGTTTGAGTAAATCCAAATTTTCTGTGTTGTTATTCACACAAAACAAAAGTAACATCAAACACTTAACAGTTTGAATGGGTCACGGCACCAAATCATCGATCTGCATGCACAGAAGAGGACAAGAAATCACACACTAACAGTTCATCCACAGTTTCAGGATCACACCTGTCAAAGTCCCCATTTTGGCCTGGAAACTATTTTAAAAGCTATAAACAGTGCTTAATTTGTAAATAAAACGTTTCCGGAACGCCAGTACTGATGTCAAACCAAAGTTCACTAAAAGCAAAGCAGATGCCGGAACACACACAAAGGGTTAACGCACATTTATTTTAACAACGGTAGTTTTTGCATCTTTACTGTACCCCTGCTTCAGCCCTCTCCCCCCCTCCCCCTGTGCAGCGGCTGCAAACTCACTGGTGCTCCTGCAGCCTCTTAGAGATCCTGCTGCTCTAAACATTGACAATTTTTCTGTCCCGTCTCTATTATCTTCCTGCATCTCCTCTCAATCCTAAAGAAAAACTGCTACCTGGCTTCATATATTTTCTCCTCATGAGTTACCTTTGAACTGCAGTTCAAAAAATTCTACCGACCACAAAAACAGGGGAGTGCGCACTGCGTGCCGGCCGCACCGGTGAGGCGAAGTCACTGGAGGACAAAACAGGTGATGCGCTCGCTCCACAGCAGCGAAACACATCAGGCACAAATAAAAGACAGAAAGCATAAAAGGATATGAGCCGACATAAACGATTGCGTGATTGCGTTTTTGAGGTGGCGACACTTTGTGGCCGTGCTCAGGACGCATCTGTCTGGAGCATTTCATCGATCAGAGCTCTGCGCCTCTCAGCTCAAAATAATCCCCGGAGAGTCCACATAGATAATGTAATATAAGTAGAACCGGGATCTTTTTGAGCTCCCCCTGGGTTTGTAAGTTGAGGGCTCCCTGGGGAACCTGTCATCCTTTGGGGTGAGCCGGGCTCCCTTTAGCTCACTCGTAATTTGAACCCTGCGTATAGCACAAGTTGGTCACGTGAGTTGCCGGAACGTCCCTTTCAAAATAAGACAGTTTCCCGATCTTGTTCCGGCAAGATCCGGCTCAGATTAACCCCTGACTATAAACTGTTTTACTCCTTATTTTCGGCATCTTGTTCGGACTCCCTGAAAGTGTTCCAGTATTACGCTTTGCTCCTACAAAACCTCCCTCCTGCTTTTATGCTCTGCTGTATTTTTAATTCCAAAACTCGACAGGATGTCCAGACTCTCTCAGCGCTTCTCCTCACACGACGCTTGCCTCCGCTGACTCAGTTACGTAGAAGACGGATTTAATATGACATGACCGTTTAGACTGCAGTCGCCTTCAGAAACATTAGATATGTATCGGAATCAGTATCACATGTGAAAGGAACCTTATGATGTCATAAAAACATCAGATATGTAGGGGAAAAAAGGATTTGATGCACTTTTGCCTGCAGTGTGAACCTAACCCAAGTCTGTTTTCATTTCTCAACACATCTTAAGGGTCTAAAGGTGATAGACAACCAAACACCAGACTACCTGCAGGTTCTGGAAAAGGCTGTCCAGGCTGGGAAACCAGTTCTGCTGCAGAACGTTCAGGAAAACCTGGATCCCTCTCTCAACCCTGTTCTCAACAAACCCATGACTGGGAAAGGTCACATACATACACACATGCATGCAGGCACACACACACACACACCATTTTGTGATGTTTTATTGTGTGTGTTTTACCAGGTGGAAGGTTTTTAATGAAACTAGGCGATAAAGAGGTGGATTATAATCCAGAGTTCAGGTTCTACATCACCACCAAGATGTCAAACCCTCACTACCCTCCAGAGATCTGCTCCAAGACAACGATAATCTACTTTGGTATCCAGGAGCAGGTGTGTGTGTGTGTGTGTGTGTGTGTGTGTGTGTGTGTGTGTGTGTGTGTGTGTGTGTGTGTGTGTGTGTGTCTGTGTATGTGCACGTGCGTTCATGCGTGCTTGCATATGTGTGTGCATGTGCATACATGTGCATTTGTGTGTGCATGCGTGTATGTGTGCAATGCATGTGTGTGCGTGTGTGTGTGTGTGCAGGCGTGTATGTGTGCAATGCATGTGCGTACGTGTGTGTGTGCGTGCGTGTGTGTGTGTGTGTGTGTGTGTGTGTGTGTGTGTGTGTGTCTGTGTATGTGCACGTGCATTCATGCGTGCTTGCACATGTGTGTGCATGTGCATACATGTGCGTTTGTGTGTGCATGCGTGTATGTGTGCAATGCATGTGTGTGCGTGTGTGTGTGTGCATGCGTGTATGTGTGCAATGCATGTGCGTACGTGTGTGTGTGTGAATACAGATTAATTAATTACTGACATTCACAAATGTTTCTACCTGCAAACCTAATTAGTATAGACTACCATCAGGCTGTAGTGAACAAAGCTTAACCCTCTGGAGGCAGGTGTTGCAGATGTGCAACAGTTAAAACCTACCTACCTGGTTACTCCACATACGTATTTCATGAGCATGTTTTAACTCGGAAGTACCCCTGAAGGACTTAGTTGTTCGTCCTTTTATCAAAACTTATTTTGAGCCTGAGAGGGTTAAAGGTCAGAGTCTTGTTCTCTGGCGGCTCAGTTCTCTGCCTGAAGGAAAGAGGGTGGGCAGCGACCAGGCTGGTTCTGTTTGGAATCTTTGTGCATCGCCTCCAAAATGTGACTTTATCTCTGAGACTTGTGAGTTTCTTGTTTAGGGTCTGGAAGCCCGGCTGTTGGGAATCGTGGTTCGTAATGAGCAGCCGGGTCTTGAGGAGCAGAAGGACAATTTGGCATTCAACATCCCTAACGACACAAAGCGTCTCCAGGACCTGAATGATCAAATCCTCAGGTTAATGTTTTATCTACTGTGACCTTTTTTGTGTGTGTTTTGTTGATCAGTGCTATCTTTAGATATTTACTATAACAGGGTTCATATAGATCGGGGGTAACTGATTTAAAGTGGTCTTAGTGGTCCGGTCCGGGGGTGGGGGGCTGGTGGTCCGGGGGCCACAAAGAGGCCCATTGAGTACCACTGATGTAGATGCTTAAAATCTGTAAAGGTGAAACTTTCATGGCTTTGAAAGCATTCAAAGCTGCCACAGAGACACATGGGACATGAAATAACTGTTGTGAGCAGTTATTGTTCATGTGTGTAAATAAGCATCCCAATGTGAGTACATTTAGCTTATTGGATTGTTACACATGTGGTGATATATTATGGCCTAGATTTATTTAAAGCCCCAAGAATTTAAGTTGGATTGTTCAACAGATGTTTTTATTCACCTAAGAAAGAAGTTTCTGATATAAGGTCACGCCCACTACACTGTAAGGAATGAAATGTTGAATTAACTTAAAGGAAATGTCCATGTAATTTTTTTAATCTGGTGCCATCTAGTGGCTGACAAATGTACTACACTTAGATGTTGTTTTCATTTCTGTATTTAAGGCAGACAGCAACGCCTCTCTTTCATGAATGTGCTCCTCTAGCCGACCAACAGAGCTACATCACATTCTTTTTCATGTATTTATATTTCAAAGACTTACTTGTCCATGAGAACCGTCACCAGCTCTGCATCAACCAAGGTACATCCTTGAATGCTCGAGCACGCTCTCTGAAGTCTGCACGTGGGAGGTAGTCTAACGCAATTGGTTAGTGCTGACCGGTGCTCAGGTCATATTGCATGGAGCTCTACAGGACAGGGGGTGGGGCTTAGGAAAAAAAACACTTATTTCCTACATTATATCACAGTACATGATAAAACAATCACTTTTATGGATTTCTGAAAATCATACATAAATCCTGAAAGGTGAAAACTCCAGACAGCAGCTCTAACCACGTTATGTCACCTGGTTTCACTAAACCTAGTTTCTTTAATGAAAAGTCTAAAATACATTATTATGTTAAAAATATATTACCAGTAGTCTTTATGTTTAAAGGGGCATTATGGAAGTTTGACAGCCAAAACATGTATAGAAATAATAAATGTCTTCTTCATACATTCTCCTGCAATGCCCTGGTCCTGTAGAATGAGCCCTGGCATTTTTACTGTGATTGCCTATTTTTCTGTAAAATCACAGAAAAAGAGAGATGCTCGGGTCGAGCAGGCTGCTTCATGCGCGTTCACGCTCAGGCATAGCCCGTAGCATTTGCTATCCGTAGCTTTAGCAGCAGAGAGTGAGGTAGTGCCAACTCAGCGACTTTGTCGCTGTTCCTAACCCCTATTGATGAACCTAGCTACATTTCTGAGGACCCTTAGCTACTTTCTTCTAGATATTCCCTGCAAATTAGCAACAAAATAACCATTTTTGCTCCGAACCGTTCTTTGAACGTTGTTTCAGCTGTCATCAGTGATATAAATGTTACAGATACAAAAGACGTGACTGGTGCTTTAGCTCACTTAGTAAGACATTGGACTCCCGTGCAGAAGACCAGCGTTCGATTCTAGATGTGAACATAGTTAATTTAGTTTCTTTTTTACATTAATGGTATATTTTTTACAGTAAGATGCTCAAATTTTTATTTGAGACTCGCCGAACGGCATTGAATTCACAGATAAAAAAGATGTGGGTTCAACTTTCATTTTGGAACAATTTTTCAAGCAAGGGAAGGGAATGATCTGAGCATGCAGGAAGACTGACCCATCATAAACCTTTGTCGGCTGTGCTGAAGAGAAAGATACAGAACCAAATTATTTAATTAATTAGCTGTGCGTTCTCCTGTCCTCTGACCTCCGGACCACACACACACACACACACACGGGACTGTCTCAGCTGTTATTTTCGTTAAGGAGTGTGCACGTACAGCATGCGCGCCTCATGCACGAGCCTACTATTGAAGCTGCCGTTACGCTTTTGGCCTGAGGGGGCAATCGCGAGCATAAAAATTCAAAACTCCATAAAGTCACTTTAATCAACTAGGTGATTGGAACCAGGTGACATTTCATTTCTTACAGTGTATTATTTACTTTGATAGCACGGTCGTAGAGACAACAGCTGTTGGTCATTAATTATGACTCACTGCTGTGGACCGGCAGCAGAGACTTCCTGACAGAAACGGATTCATGTTGGACTGTAGCAACAGTTCTGCTTAACCACTGCAATAAGAACACATTAAACCTGATTTACATGTTACAGCTCCAGTGTTTGGAGTCACTTTTAGATTCATCTAATGTTAATCTGTTTCACCAGTCTGCTAAATGAGGCAAGTGGCTCCCTGCTGGAGGACCCACAGCTGATCAACACCCTGCACTCCTGCAGAGCCGCGGCCAAGCAGGTTTCTGAGCAGCTGGAGGGCAGCAAACGGAGCATCCTGCAGGTCGACTCAGCCAGAGAGGTCAGGAGGGCAGATGTTACCCTGGGTCTTTATTATCAGATACAAAAGTTGTGGAAACTCAGTCAGTTTTGTAGATATGGAGCAACAGTCTGGTGTTTATTGGCTGGGAGTCGTTTATGTCAGATAACCTGGAACAGCAACACATCTGCCTCCCTTTGGGTTAAAACAACCTCTTGTTTTGACACACAGATGAAACACCCCGGCCTGGAAAACAGATGTTCAATGTCACTGAGCATCAGTGTCCCCAGGAGTGTGTAGAAAACACTGGAGTTCATGAGACTGGACCAGTGTCGCCACCTGGTGGTCTGAAGTGTCACGTTAATGTCATGAGATTGGAAGAAGAAAGTTTTTAAAGAATAAGAATACCTTTTTTAAATGATTTGAAAAGAATAAATCTATACATGTTTAATGGGGGGGGGGGGTAGTTTTGCTTAGCGCTGCTGGCTGGCTGTTCATTACGCCAGCCCTCTGTGTGACAGCACACCTCCCGTTTGCCCGGGTGGGGTTTGGGGGCCACAAAGAGGGGCCCCGCGGGCCGCCTATTGAGGACCACTGCTCTAATCCAATAAAATCTAGTCTCCTTAATGCTGGGCTAACCGGTGTGGATGTGTTTTCGTCATCGTTCTCTAAATCAGACGAGAGTCGTGGTGTTTTCTCCTCTCAGGCCTATCGTCCGTGCGTCCGGCGAGCCTCCATCCTCTTCTTCATCATGACCAGCATGACCCTGATTGACCCCATGTACCAGTTCTCTCTGGACGCCTACATCAGCCTGTTCGCTCGCAGCGTTGAAAGCAGCAAAGGCGACTCCAGACTGGAGGCCCGGATCTCCAACATCAACGACCACCACACGTACGCCGTCTACAGGTCAGTCTGGTTCCAGTACCCTCTGAGCTACTGCTGACTGGTGACGCAACACACTCAGCACCTTTCTTTTGTGTCCTCTCTGCTGCAGGTACACGTGTCGCGCTCTGTTCGAGGCTCATAAGCTCGTCTTCACCTTTCAGATGTGCACCAGACTTCTGACAGAGGCTGGAGAACTCCACGCGGACGAGTTCAGCTTCTTCCTTCGAGGAGGAAACGTACGACAACAGCAGGCTGTTCTCTCCACACGCTAACAGGAAGAGTTTCTAACCATGACGGGTGTGTTTGAAGGTGGAGAAGCGTGATGGGACTCGTAACCCATGTGTCAACTGGTTACCAGACTCCAGCTGGGACAACATCACAGCGCTGACTAACCTGCAGAAGTTTAAGGACATGGGGACGTCCTTAGAACAGAATCCTGAAGACTGGAAGAGCTGGTTGACCCAAGCTGAGCCAGAGAAGACCCCACTACCAGGTCTACAGCAGGAGGATACTCGTGTGTTACTGGTCGTGTGTGTGATTGTGCATCTGTCTTATCTTATGTTCCTCATTCCTCTCTCCACCACACAAAGGTGGCTGGAGCATCACCTGCGACGACCTCCAGAAGATGCTGATAGTGCGTTCTCTACGCCCAGACCGCGTAGCTTCCTGCATCACCTCGTTTGTCGTTAAACACCTCGGTCCTCGCTTCGTGGAACCTCCTGTCCTCAACATGAAGGCTGTAGGTTTCAGCCAGCTGCTTCTTTGTTTGTAAATGTTTACAGACCATTTGTGTCTGACTCTTACTCAGAAATGACCCATTTCTCCTTTTCCTTTCTCTCCCTGCAGGCTTTAGAGGAATCCAGCAGCTGGACTCCTCTGATCTTTGTCCTGTCTCCTGGAGCAGACCCCACAGATGCTCTGCTGCAGCTGGCTAAAGCCTCGGGCATGAGCAGACACCTGCACACGCTCTACCTGGGCCAGGGACAGGCTCTTGTCGCTAAGAGGATGGTAGAAGAAGGAGTGAAGGAGGGTATGGCGACCAACTGCTGTCTCGTGTAGCTTTGACATTATTTTAATCCCGTCAGACGTCCACAGCTCCAGTAAAGTGGCCTTTACCGTGTTGTTCTGCAGAACAACTGTCAGACTGGAACAACTAAACGTCTGCTGGCTTCCAGCTCTAACCCTAACCCTCTCGCCACTAAGTTATGGTCACTAAAACATCTCCTAACAGGTCACTGGGTGTTTCTTGCCAATTGCCACCTCTCCTTGGCATGGACATCTGAGCTGGACAGGCTGATCCAGCAGCTACGGGTGCAGAAGCCCCACCCACACTTCAGACTGTGGCTCAGCACGTCTCCATACCCCGAGTTTCCTGTCGGTATCCTGCAGGCAGGCATCAAGATGACCGTAGAGCCTCCACAGGTGTGTGAGGTCATGCACACACCGCTAAAATGCACACACCACACACAGAAAACACAGCTGGGTTTTCCTCTGGGCTAGCGTTAGCTTTATCTCTGGCTGATTCTCGTCTCCAGGGTTTAAAAGCCAGCATGAAGCACCTGTACCAGCTGGTGACCCCGTCCCACCCCAGACCCGGACTCTACAACAGGCTGCTCTTCTCCCTCTGCTCCCTTCACAGCGTCCTGCTGGAGAGGAGGAAGTTCCAGCCGACCGGCTGGAACGTGATCTATGGCTTCGGCGATTCAGACTTCAAGGTCAGAAATCCAAACATCTGTGTTTGTATGTCATTTGAGTCTGATCTGGATCCTTCTGCAGGTGAGTGAGAGTCTGCTACGTCTGTTCCTGGACTCGTGCAGCGATATTCCCTTCAACGCTCTCCAGAACGTTATCGCTGACGTCGGTTATGGCGGTCACGTCACAGACGACTGGGACCAGCGTCTTCTGACTACCACCATCAGAGACTACTTGAATGAAGCCGGTGTAAACCAGCCCGGCTTTAGGTAACAAATACTAACTCCTCTTTAGATTAACATCAAACTTATGTACTTGGCTCACAGCGCCCCAAGGGGACAGGTGGTGTACTGCACAGAGACATTCTGGCATGATAAAAAAAAACAGGATTTAGACAGGAGGAATTATGGGATGGATTTTTATGAAAGTGTTCCAGCAGCACACCTGCCCTCTTCAATAATAATGTCATCAAAAAAGAAAATAGAGAAACTAAACCTATATAATAATGATAATCCAGCTGTTTAGGGAACATCTGTGGCTTATGTGTGCACATCAGACTCTAACCATTAGTGTTAGTTTTAGTATATCAGTGCTGTAATAAAATATTAAACTATAACAGCAATAGAGATTTGGTGACTGTATTTTATTTTATTTTATTTCTCTGTTTGTCAGATTCTGCTCCCCACCCCCCCACCCTATCCCCCCGGACAGCCCCCTGTCAGCCTATGAGGATTATATCAGCACACTGCCCCCCACGGACCGCCCGGAGGTGTTGGGCCTGCACCCTAACGCTGACATCCCGATCCAGCTCACCGAGACCAGAACTCTGTTCCACTCCCTGCTCTCCCTGCAGCCTGCCGCTGCAGCGGAGGGGGGGGACAGCAGAGAGGACAGGGTGAGACAGGTGCCGCCGGTGTACTCATGTTATTATCTCAACCAGCTGGAACCGTCACGTCTTTGTTTCCAGGTGCTGGCGTTGTTGGGCGATGTCCGCGCTCAGATCCCAGGGCAGATAGACACCGACAGGATCAGGAGCTTCATCCAGGAGAACCCGTCCCCCCTGGACCTGGTCCTGCTGCAGGAGACGCTCACATACAACCGTCTGCTGGAGACTGTCAGGTATGTGTCCTGATTTAGACACCGTCATTAGCAGCAGTTAGCAGCTTCACAGCTTCCAATAGGATAATCACCATTTCAGCTCCATGCTTCCTCACACCTGCAGCTTCTGTGTCTCTGTGCTCTGCTTTTAACACATTCAGACATATTATGGAATAACTTTGCAAGTAATTCAAATATATTTTTGTCTGGGTTGAATCTAGTTTCACCTGAAACTTTTTTCCATCAGTATCCTAATGCTGCATCTTAATCTGATTCAGAAGAAGAATAAATTATTTTGTATTAGCGCCTCTCAAGAGAAAAATCACGTGGTCCTTCACAAGAAACTGAGTAGATGTTTCCTGTAGAAAAGGGAGTCATTTTCAATACTGAAGAGCCGTTTTACTCATCCCTTGTTGTTACACCTGTTTGTGCTTCAGCTCGACGCTGGTGGAGCTGGAGAGGGGGATCAGAGACTTGGTGGTGATGTCACCGACCACGGAGGAGACCTTAAACTGCATCTACCACGCTCGTGTGCCACCGCTGTGGCAGGAGGTGTGAACACTCAGAGCAGATCTGCACTCACAACTTCCTTTCCTCACCTGTTCTGTTCTTATCAGACCTGATGAATCAGACACTCATTAGCATCAGGTGAGCTGAAGCAGGGAAATATCTAAAACATGCAGGACAGCAAGTTCTGTGAAGGTCTCAGCAGGACTACCACAGTCTCTTGGACCAGTTTTACTAACGTATTCACCTTTAGAGCCCACTCGAGTAAAGATGGCCGCCACAAACACAGCATCTGAGGTCTGACCAAAACAGCTAGGACGCTACATCGGAAGGTTTTTATTTTCAGCTCCTACCGGGGTGGGTGATAGGTGTTCCTTCAGGGTTTGATGCGTCTGGCGTTTTAATAAAGTTGGCAGCATTCAAATTAAAATGCAGAGAGAATCCCAGTCGACCAGGGTTAAAGTCAAGTGTCATCTAGAATGTCCCCATACGTGTCAGGCTGCTGCTGCTGCTTTTAGTTTTAGTGAATTAATTAGAATTAATTTTTATCTGGAGTGTTTTATTCTGCTGCAGCTACAGCAGGTTAGGATTATAATTCCATACAATAATAGAAAATCTGATCAACACATGTAGTTGGGAGCCATTAAAGGGATTAGGCTCACTCACTGTTCTTTTAATAATGGTGCATTTATCAACACACACAGCTGTGAATGATCCATTTGTACATTAATTCTGTGTTTTTCTTCTGAACGCTATTTTAAGTTCTTTATTTTAAACATAGGAAAGGTTCTTTTGCCTTGCTAACAGTTTTGATCGCTCCTACGATATTCTTCAGAGCTAGCCGATAACGGCGGCATCACTTCCTTCTCCGTTTATCCACAGAGGACGGTGTTGCCATCTGCTGCCCGCAGAGATAACAGAATAATAGAAAAATGTATTAACACTGGATTCCTACAGCAAACATAATAATAATCTTTGGAACCCCAAAAATACACAAACAGAACACCCCACTTAGGCTGCGTTCACACTGCAGGCTAAAGCGCATTAAATCCGCCTTTTTTCCCCACATGCGAGCCGCATCTGATTTTTTTATGACAGTCTGAATGCACATATCCGATATTTTTTCTTGCGATCCGTGCCACTTGAATATATAGTACTAATTCCAACACATATCTGATATTTTTGAATGCGACTGCAGTCTGAACGGTCACGTCGCATTAAATCTGTCTCCTACGTCACTGAGTCTGCAGAGGTGAGCGTCGTGTGTGGATGTTCCTGAGGAGAAGCACTGACAGAAGGATTCGGGAGTCCGTCTGGACATCCTGTTTTAGGTTTTGGTATCAAACTACAGGAAATAATGTGAACGGGAGCGAGAGGTGCTGCTGGAGTGAAGTGTTTCACCTGTCTCCATCTCTGTGAGGGGGGAGGGGGGGGGGGGTCTCCGTGAGAGAGGGATTTTCCGTGAATGAATTAATACCGGAATATTTCCGGTGAATAATAATTCAGGGAGATGGCAGGAACAAGGAGTAAAATTGTTTATAGTTTTTAAAACAGTTTCCAGCCCAAAACGGAAGAATTAACAGGTGTGTCAGTTTTCACTGATAGTTTAAAGAGCAAGTCACCCCCAAATAAACTATTTTTTTCTGATAAACTATATAAATGCGTGTCTAATCGTGCTGCAGACACGTGTAGTCAATAGTTTTGCACTTTAGTGCATTTTAGTTAAAATTTAAAATTTCTGCCTGAAACTGTCAGTGTTGTACCGTTGTCAGGTAAAAACTCTTCACTGCATTTGAATTGAAATCTGACATCACCATTGGCTAAGAGGTATGCTATGATGTAAACTGGTAGATTATGATGTCACAATGTCGTGAGTGTGTGTATTTGTAGTGGCTCCACCCTCTCCGTCTGCTAGGCAACAGCATTTGTTGCATTTTTCAAACATGAAGTGGGAGTGAAGTATGTTCTTGTAAGGGGTGACTTGCTCTTTAACCACAGATCAGGATTACATCACAACTCCACCGCTCCTGGTTTCAGTTCCACTGAGTGTGACTTCTTGTCCTCTGCGCATGCGGGTCACTTTGGTGCCGTGGAGCGTTCACACTAGAGAGAGTTTGATGTCGCATTTCAGTCACAGTGTGAACAGCCACACAGAAAGATCAGATTTACTCAAAAAATTGGAATCGAGCATCAAGGCCTGCAGTGTGAACGCAGCCTTAGACCAATAGTAGACAACATAGGTACACCAACATACAACATGGCAAAAGAAATCAGCTGAATCCTCAGCCCACTATTAGGCAACACAGATCAACACAGAACTGGCAAAAGAACTAAAAGGATTACAATAGAAGATGACATACTCATCTCACACGCTACATCCCTGTTCACAAAACACCGACCCCAAAAAACATCAACATAGTAGTAAGATAACAGTAACAAGATGTAACAGTTATCAAGTAACAGAGGACATAGCTCAACTGGTAGAACTGGTAGCTAACTCCACTTACTTCACATATGATGGAACTATATACAAACAACTGGAAGGCTTCGCCATGGGTAACCTGTTATCAGCCACCGTTTGTGAGTTTTTCACGGGGGACTTTGAACAAAAAGCCATACCCACTGCCCCCCCCAAACTGCTAAATTAAATTATAGAAATGCTACGTAGACAACATTCTAGAAATCATAACAAGACGACAAACTGAGACACTAACAGAACACCTGAACAATATTGAAAACACAAACAACATAAAATTCACACATCAGGAAGAAATAGAAGGCAGCATAATGTTCATGGACATGAAAATAAGCAGACAAAAACACGGGACCCTGAATATAAACACATACCGGAAACCAACACACACAGACCAA